CAAAATAATATACTAGAGCAGGATAGCCAAAATGGTCCCAAGGTTAATGAACTACAATTCCCATCATCTCTAACCATTGGCCACATTGGCTGGGGTTGAGTGGTGGTGGAGGCCAGTAGCATCTGCAGGACACCTGGTTGGCTGTTCCTCACAAAAAGAGAAGTTCAGGACATGCTTGCCATTGTTTCCCTCTCATGTCTGGATTTGTGTCCCTCTTCCCCAGGGTGCCCCCTACTCGCAGCAGCCATGAGCCACATGAACAGGATTATTATATGCTTCATCAGTGAGAGATTGCAGTATCTATTCAATTTAAGGATAGGTTATGGAGCTTTCTCAGGAGGAACTGCAACCTACCTATTTATTTGCCTGGACGTATATTGCAACTCATCTTAAGCAGGCCAGTGAGTCACACTTCTGCTAAAATACTGTTTTTGGTTTTTTTAACTGTTTAATCATCAGACCATAGTTTTGCAGAACACAACACTGCCTGCAGTTTCATATTCAAGCTCTTTATTACCGGTATGTATTTTGAGGGGAAAGGGTGTTTAGTTCCAAGCAAGTGTGCACAGAATTGTAACTTTATGTGATTACAAACCCACTGTTCTGAAACCACTTCAAGGCAGTTTGAGGCCCATAGTTCTGCTGAAGCAAGGAAATTCCAGAGAAGCGGACACGGAGCAATGGATCCAAACTACAAGAAAGAAGATTCCACCTAAACATTAGGAAGAACTTCCTGACAGTAAGAGCTGTTCGACAGTGGAATTTGCTGCCAAGGAGTGTGGTGGAGTCTCCTTCTTTGGAGGTCTTTAAGCAGAGGCTTGACAACCATATGTCAGGAGTGCTCTGATGGTGTTTCCTGCTTGGCAGGGGGTTGGACTTGATGGCCCTTGTGGTCTCTTCCAACTCTATGATTCTATGATTCTATGAATTGCAACTAACTGTTCAGATTGAAGACTTTGTTCCCCCACCCTATTTGTATGAACAGGGCTTTCGTCTATAAACAACCCATCCTGTGCAATTAGGCACAACAAAATGATGCCATTTAAGGCATCATTGTAAATAAAATGCCTCAAGTGCTGCATATGAACGACTGCAGAAATTGCATATTTGAAGTTGACCTGTGTATATTTAGGATCCCAGCTGTGTTAGTGTGTTGCAGAAAACACAATAAAACTGTTCTGTATTTTAGCAAATTTATAAGCCTTTATGGGCCAGAACTCACTTCATCAGCTACATGAAGTGGTCTCCATAGTGAAAAACCATAAGGCCTCTTGAGCAGTAGGTAAAATGAATACAAGATCCAATCAACATGGGTGTGGCCCACCGTTAGATTGCATTAAGTGTTATAATTGTGCTACCACAAAGAGCCCATTTACTTTGAATCCATTTCAATGGAACTGAGAAAAATTAAATACTTGGGTTTTAATTTTAACGTTGGAACTGGACTGGTTTTAATTTTAACATTGGAATTGGCTGCACTATTGTACCAAGTAAAGAAGTAACCCTTTCTGGCATAACCTTATAAAGATACAGAAAAATAAATACTTCTTTAATGGACCATCAGACTAGCTTTAAGTAAAATTCCATTGAATAAGCCTGATAATTTATTTGTTTAGTTGTTCCATTTATTTACCACCTTTTCTTCCAAGGAGCTCAGTGTGGTGTACATGGTTCTCCTCCTCCCCATTTCACCCTAACAACCCTGTGAGGTACCGGTAGGTTAGGATTATAGATGATGACTGGCCCAAGGTCACCCAGTGAGCTTTATGGCTGAGTGGGGATTTGAACCCTGCTCTCCCAGGTCGTAGTCCAGTACTCTAACCATTACACAACACTGGCTACTGAAAAACCAATAAGCTACTGAAAAGCCATACCTAGACCTACTTGCAGGGTGAGGACCGAAAGGAATACAATTTGGGATTTTAAAAGAAAAACAGAAACTGTCCTAAGCGTATGAACTGGATAAAGAATCAATTGTAAGACCTGGGATGAGGAGAGGGATGGTTTTTTTTTTACTCATAGCAGCCCTGAGTGCTCACTGGAAGGACAGATCCTGAAGCTGAGACTCCAATACTTTGGCCACCTCATGAGAAGAGAAGAATCCCTGGAAAAGACCCTGATGTTGGGGAAGATGGAGGGCACAAGGAGAAGGGGACGACAGAGGTTGAGATGGTTGGATAGTGTTCTTGAGGCTACCAGCATGAGTTTGACCAAGCTGCGGGAGGCAGTGGAAGACAGGAGTGCCTGGCGTGCTCTGGTCCATGGGGTCACGAAGAGTCAGAAACGATTAAACGACTAAACAACAACAACAAGCAGTGCTCTGATAGCCCAAGTCTAATCCCATTGATTCAAAAGTAACATCTCACCACCTGGCATCTGTAGTGCTTACTGCTTGGTGAATATTTAGTTATTGTTAGGTCCTGTTTTCTCCTCCAGGAGTTTGGGGTGGCTAACAATCACCATAAATTATAATAAATACAGTAAAACAATAGTTAAAACACCGACAAATCCACACCAACAATTAAAATATATAGTAGACAATAAAACTTTTAACAGTTATTCTTCATTCCATTTGTTCCAAAAGCGGCTGGCTTGGTCATGCCCCCAGAATGGAAGCTGGCAGGATCCCCAAGGATGTGCTCTCCGGGGAGCTGGCTTCTGGCACCAGACCAATTGGCAGACCAAAGATGTCTGCAAACATGACATGAAGGCTGGCAACATCAACCCTGCCATGTGGGAATCCCTTGCAGATGACCACAGTGCCTGGAGACAGGCATACAAGTCACGTATCCATAGCAGTGACCAGAGGAGGAATGACCGCTGGGAAGTGTGCCATGGTGCATCTGCAGCAGTACAACTGGACACCTTCATCTGCCCCCAGCTGTAACAAAACATGTCTCTTCCTGAATCAGCGCTGCAACCTTCCAACAGTTAGACCTCATTCTCAAAGGCGCATAATTCCATTGTCTCCCAAGACAGACAGATGCCAATAACCACTCTTAAGTTTGCACCTCATTTTTGTCAAGGTGGAAGACAACTAAGCATCACCTTGAAGGGAGTTCCACAAATGGGGGCTGCCCCCGAGAAGCCCTGCTCAGTCATCATCTCACAGGCCATGCTTACCAACTGAACAATGAGCAGGAAGAAGAAAAAGAGTTTGGATTTGATATCCCGCTTTATCACTACCCTAAGGAGTCCCAAAGCGGCTAACAATCTCCTTTCCCTTCCTCCCGCACAACAAACACTCTGTGAGGTGAGTGGGGCTGAGAGACTTCAGAGAAGTGTGAGAACCCGGTTCACCAGATTACAAGTCTACCGCTCTTAACCACTACACCACATTGGCTCTCTCACCAGTCTTAAAGCAGAGTTGGTAGTTATTGGGAAGACACTCCTTTAGGTATTTGGGCTCAAAAGTCATACAAGGCTTTTTACATCTGTACACCATTAATTGGGCCTGACAGGTAACAGGCCAGTGCTGAGTTTTAAGTATTGTAATGTGGTCTCATCAACACCAGCAGTTACAATTTGTTTTAAATGGTTGCATTTACATGACAAATGGTAAAACAGCTTTAGGATCTCAGTTGGTATGAATTAATTTTAATTGTTCAGCTTTATAAGCTTTATGTATAAGAGGACATTCTTTTAAGATATGTGTGTTTTAAAACCAGAACACTTATCTTCTGAACAAGAACTCTGGAAATACAATGTGTATGTATTTCTGCTTCCCTATTTTAACTCTTTTGAATAAGGGACTTGGGGTTCATCCTGCATGCAATATAGCTCTCATCCAAGTACAGTGGTACCTTGGGTTACACACGCTTCAGGTTACATACGCTTCAGGTTACAGACTCCGCTAACCCAGAAATAGTACCTCGGGTTAAGAACTTTGCTTCAGGATGAGAACAGAAATCGGGTGGCAGCAGTGCGGCGGTGGCGGCGGCAGCAGCAGCAGCAGCAGCAGCAGGAGGCCCCATTAGCTAAAGTGGTGCTTCAGATTAAGAACAGTTTCAGGTTAAGAACAGACCTCTGGAACGAATTAAGTACGTAACCAGAGGTACCACTGTACTGTCTTACATTATTTCTTCATCTAATTCAGATGTAGTGTTTCTGTGGAAAATCCAGTAAGTCACACCCACCTACCCAAAATGGTAAAACTGGATTGAACAGACAAGGGGGAGACACAGGGCGTTTTGATAAGTACTGTGAAAAACTTCCATTCAGGAGCAGCATCAAGTTCACAATAAACTATGTGCAAGCACTGTAAGAAATATATGTGTTATGGGCTGATTAAAGTAACCTTTGTGAACATGCCTTGGGATGTTGTTGTTGTTTAGTCGTTTAGTCGTGTCCGACTCTTCGTGACCCCATGGACCAGGGCACGCCAGGCACTTCTGTCTTCCACTGTCTCCCGCAGTTTGGTCAGACTCATGTTTGTAGCTTCGAGAACACTGTCCAACCATCTCGTTGTCTGTCGTCCCCTTCTCTTGTGCCCTCAATCTTTCCCAACATCAGGGTCTTTTCCAGGGAGTCTTCTCTTCTCATGAGGTGGCCAAAGTATTGGAACCTCAGCTTCATTTACTGTGGTTTTGAATATTGCCATGGAATAATCTGTGTATATGTAGCTAGTTAATGAATCCTCACAACACTGAAAAAAAAAAGTCCAACATCAGTGCTCAAAATAGGCTTGCCATATTTCAAAAAGTGGAAAGCCCGGACACAAAAGTTATGCTTTTTTTTAAGCAAAGTTGATGGGCTTTTTTTGGGGGGGGGGTCCAAGTTCTTGAACTTTTTTTTGTTTTGTCCAGTTGTCGTTTTTTACAAGATCTACAGACATAGGCTGCCAAACGTCTGGATTTTCCTTGACATTTCTGCAGCCGTTGTTTAGGAGGGCTGAATACTGGGTATGTCTAGACCAATAGCATGCCTAAAAATAGTGACCTGTGACCCAGGTTAAGGACCTGGCCTTGCTTGAGGTTATTCCCTAATTTGTTAGAAATACATGATGGTGTTTAACCATGAACAGAAACAACATTCTGTATCATATACTTGATTTTCTTCTTAGAATGCAATGACCACGTATTATTTTAGCTTCCAAGTATCTTTTACTAGAAAACCAACAAACCTTATCCAACCTGCTCCCTGGGTACCAGGGTTAACGAGGAGTCCTAATGACCAGGCTAGGCCTCTAAGAGCCTCGACACACGCCACTGAGCTTTGGGGCTGCTAATTCAAAAATGGAGGATGAGCGCCTCAACCATTAATTAATAATGTAGCTCTCTGTCTTCCTGCGTGTCACAAGCTGGAAAGGCGGTGATCGGCCAATAAAGATGTAGGGGAAAGAAGTCGAAAGCTCCTCCCAACAGCTCTTCCTCATTGAGAGCTGAAGTAGTAGATCAAAAACTTCCGAGGAGCGGGGTTGGTGGGGGGCAGAAATAAAAGAGGGGAGACTCATCAGATACCAGCCGGGCGGAAGGGGCAATCGAATTACTAATCAGGTAGGAGGAGATGGTGCAGCCTTTACCTCTGTCTCAGGAGGGTCAATTTGCCTTACAGACCTTTCCGGGAAGACAGGGGAGGAGGATGGGGGGGGGGGAGGCACTCTCGTGTACATCCTGACAGCAGGAAGGGAAGGCTCATCTAACAGCCTCTCAGCTGGAGGGGATCCCTCATTAAACATCAGATCAGACGGGGGTGTGTGTGAGAAAGAGAGAGGAAAGGGGGGGGGGAGAGAGGAGAGAGTCCCGACAGAAGCTGGCCGGGAAAGTAGATAAGCGATCAAAAAGACTTGCCCTCCTTCTCTTCCCTGTTTGCTTGGCATTTTGGAGAGAGAGAGAGAGCGGAAGGAGGTGCGCGGAACAGCGCGCCGGGCCGGTCAGAGGGCGACCCCCGTGGGCGGAGCGGGGGGGAGGAAGGCGGTGAGTCCAGGGGAGGCCTTAGACACCGGGGGAGGGGAATCCCCGGGTCGGTCGAGCACGTTGTGTGGCGGCGGAGGAGGAAGGGGGGGGAGTAGTAGTAGTAGCAGGAGGAGGAGGAGGGAGTAGTCGTTGCCGCCGCCGCCTGCTGTTCGGCGTCATGGCCCCATTGTGAGGCGGCCTAAGGGAGGGGGGGAGAGAGAGAGAGAAGCGGGGGAGGAAAGGAAGGATCCGCTCTCGCTCTCTCCCTTGCGCACACAGAGCTCGCTCAGTCCCAGGCGAGGAAGCGGCGTGTCAGGCGCACGCACACAAAAGGAACCGTCTTCGGGCTGCTGCTGCTGCTGCTGCTTTCGCCGCTCCTCTTCGCCTCGACCTGACGCCCTCCTTCTCTCTCTCCCCCCCCCCCCGCTACTCCTCATATACTCCACTTAGAAACGGGACCCGGGCGATGCCACTGTTACACCGAAAGCCCTTCGTGAGGGAGAAGCCCCCCGCTGACCTTCGGCCGGACGAGCACGTCTTCTACTGCAAGGTCACCAACGAGATTTTCAGGAACTACGAGTAAGTCTCTCTCTCTCTCCCCCCCCCCCCATTTCCTCGTGGGCTCTGGCGGGCTGATTTGAACAGGAAAGCGCGGCGGAGGCGGCGGGAAATGGCTGACACCTGGCCTGGGAAAAGAAGAGGGTGGGGAGGGAATCCCCCTCCGAAAGGTCGGGGAAACCCCCTGACCACCCTTCTTCCGAGGGGAGGAGGGGGCGTCGAGCCAGGTCCTGCCCGCTGTCCTTTAGCGCGCGCTCTTGTGTCTCCCCTCAGGACGGGGGGGGGAGGGGAGAGGAGGAAATAAAGTTTGTGGCAAGCGGTGGGGGGCGGGTCTGGTCCCTCCCCGCCGCCCTTGTCCCTCTGGTATCCCGAGACTCCCCCCCCCTCCCGCCGCATGTCAAAGCGGCTTCCACTAGGCCTTTCGTAAGGTGCTCTCATTTGCCTCCGGTTTGTGGAAGCGACTTGGCGCGTTTGAGCGAATCCGAGCGCGGAAACTGCCTCACAGAAATCAACGGCCGGTTGGCCGGCCGCGTCGTATAGACCCGGCTTTGGGGTGGGCGCGAAGGGGAGCCTCCGGACGGGCGCTGCTAACCGCCCCGTGCGCGCACACTATTGTTTTCCCAGCAGCTGGCAGGACGGGGAATAAACGCGCCGCCTACTGTAGCCGCCCTCCCGCTCCCAAATGCGCCTCCGTTGGGGTTGAGTTCAAAACATCGACAGCCCCTCCTGCCGTCTCCTTTCATAGTGCAACAACCGAGTCGGGTTTTTATCTGTTTAAAAGCGCCCGACCCCCCTCAAACCTCTTTTGAAATCTCCCCCCTTCGCCCTCTTTTCGACACGCCAGGCGTTTGAGTACCCTAAACTTCCACCCGTGCGAGTAGGTCTCGTCGACACCTGTTTCTTAAGCTCCAAATGGGGTGATAATTCTGTTTCCGTAGTATCTGTCAGGGTTCTTCTAACGCTGGCAAGTACAATAGTTGAGCGTATTCAGGGGAAAGTGATGACGCATTTGAATGTGCTGGTTTAGCTAAAGCTGTGTATCTCAGTATTGTGCTTTATTGCCATGCATTAAGAGTTCCGTTGATTTTGTGGCTTTCACTCTGGCTTGTTCGGTTTTAAAAATGAAAGAGGAGGACAGTTGGTCCACAAGGTATTCTCTCTAATGGCAGGCTATCAATTAATTAGTTAAAAGTACTAGTCTAGTTAGTTAATGAAATAAAGCTCAGTACATCAGCACTACTTTTGGGTGAGATTTTAATGAAAATAAGAATTACATATTTCCCAGTTTAGAGGAGCCTTCAGTTTCTATAATAGCTTTGCATATGAATGTTTCCCCAGGAGATGATGTGAATAGTAATTGCATGTAGTATTCAATTAGCTTAAATTTAAAATATATTTATAAACTTCATTAGTTTATCCTTTTTCTTAAGTATTGGCATAGGTATGAAGAGAATATGTGAACTTTACATATTAAATGTAATATTAGGAAGGAGAAAAAGTTCTTCAGGACAAAAGTGTTCATCCAGAACTCTGATAGCTAAGAAGTTGGAATATGTTTTTCATTCTTCCGCTTTATTTGCAAGACTTTATGTATAATCCAGCCAAAGTTGAGCACTTTGAAGTCCAAAAAAAATTGGCTGGAGAGGTGAGCTATGCACAATTCTTCTACTGACATCAATAGGGTATAAAAATTCTCAGTGTTGTCCCAGGAACTGATAACACATAAGGGCATGTGCAGAGTTCCTTTCGCTCAGCATTGAAGAAACCATTGCTAGACCCCCATTTGTTGGAGATGTGAGAAGGGATCTGGGGGCAAGAAAATTCCTATCAAATTCTTCCATTTAGAAATGTAGCAGCAAGAGAAGAAATCTTACATTATTTTAATAATTGGACTGATTTTAGATATACTTAGATAAGGATATATAAGTTTGTAAAATACAGGATGCTCTTAATGCATTCTTGTATTTAACAGTTTATCTGGTAGTCAGAGGTAGCAAGTACGGTAATTCCATGTAGGCAAACGAGTGTTCTGATGGGGGGTGGGGGGTGGCAGGCAACCACTCATCTGTGTTGGCCACAGAGAATGGAAAGTCTCTTCCTCCATGAATAGTGTGGAACTGTAGTGGGCCGAGCAGTTTTTTGTGTTTTTGTTTTTTTACTAATAGGCTACACATAGAAAAGGGATCTTCCCTTTTCCACAGCCAATATATTGTTGTCACTATTATTGTTGTCATTATTAATTGTACTTAATGCTTTTCTTAACAAAATGTATTCCAAAGCAACTTGTTAAATAGTATAAAGATTAAAACCAGCATAAAACCAAAACAGAGTAAAAAACTAAAATTGCAGTTATGCATTTAAGAGACACATCCCCACACAACTGGGGATTGTGGTTTTGCTCCCATCAAACTACAACCTATCACCAAGGTTCATTCTTGGCTTATTGACTATGGTTTATTTAAGTAAAACATCCATAGGCCCTGGTTTGGACATAATACTTAACCCAGGGATCATGGTTTGTTATCCCTGGCTGTGTGCTTGTGGAAAGAAGCAAAATCATCAGTTACCATTACGTTTCTGATTTATCAAATTTGTATGCATATATATAGTGTTGCAATTATATACTTGCAACAGCTCAATGAGGTGGAGATAAAGTGGCTACTCCAGATTAATCAGGGTTTCGGGCCAGGTATTTTGGGACTAAGTCCAACAGTTTTATTACATGATGCTGGCTGTCAGGTTTGGAGAGACACCATGTTCTGTGGTACAAGGAAACCATGGGACATGCATGCTTTCCCAGGTTACTGTTTCTCTTACAGTGACTGCAAACCTGCTTGAATCTCATTAGCTGGATGACAGACTGATTCAATTTTTGCTTGTAGTGCTTTTTAAAGTTTTATATATGTGTATATTTTATTGTAAGCTGTTTTGGACAGGTATTTGCCTAAAAGCAGCCTAAAAAACTAATTAATAGAAGTCGTAAGATTCAGTACTATCCACACAACAAATCCACAAATTCTGCTAAATTAAAGTTTCAGGAATTTTTATACTACTATAAAACACTTCTGGAGCACCAGAAGATTTAGCATTTTCTCCACTCCTTATTCAGTTAGAAGAGAGTGGCAAAACTTTCATCTTAGTAGGATCAACTCTTTGCCACCTAAGAAGTTCATTGAACCCATAAAGTGCCGTCTTTAGTAGTTGCCCATAAAATGGACTGTAGCCCAGCAGCCAATCATTAAAATCATAATCATATTATTAGTATCTCTAGACCAACTGAATCTTGGTTGCTTTGTTGACAGTCCTCCTGGTTGAAAGTCTTGCAGCTGAATGCTTGTTCAGTTAATGGGAAGACAGCTGCCATCCAGAATTTAATCCTGGATGAGCATGCTGACCTGGCATATATTACAAAGACCTGGCTGTATGTAAATCTTTCCCAGCTTTTGTCTGCCAGTTTTTCCAAACAGTAGCAGGTGGCCTAGTGGGCTATAGTGATTCCATTCCCATACCCAGGTGCCTCATTCAACATTACAGTTTTCATTATTCATTTAATTATAGTTTTGAGCATGTGTTTTTTTTATGGTGGGTGTTTCAGGATAGGGATTCTGTTGGTGTATAGCCCTTACCATTGTTAAGCAGTCTCCTTATTTAAGATAGCTAGGGTGGTATTGCTGGGAACTTCAACATTCCCTGTTGGAAGTGGCTCAGTATTTCATTGCTTCATGGCAATCATGGGTCCATGCTAAATGGGTTCGGGTCATACTTACCTTGTCTCTGATGGGATTGTGCTCCCTTTGAAAAGAAAATGAAATGAGTGAAACTGATATAGAAGGAGACAAAGTAAAATTGGTAACCTTAGGATGGTACCAGTACAGATGAAGAAACAATGCTTGTGGACTCCCACATCTCCAGGCCTGCCTCCCAAATCAAGCTCACATTTGAGCAAGTGAGTAGGAGATTAGTGTGAGAAGAACAGAATTCTATGATGAATCAGGTAAAATCTGAGGTTTAGTCACAGTTGTACCACATAATCGGTGTCCCACATAAGACATGTTGGGTCTGGATTTGATTTTATTTAAACTCAAATGAGATTATATCTCCCCAAAGCATAATGAGGTACAGTATTCTTTTTGAAGACCAATATATGAGAGAGAAAGTGGCTTTAAGGCACTGTTGGCCTCAAGGTCAAGTTTTGCAACCAGGAGCAGGGCAGAGCAGGGTGTTTGCAGACTTTTCCAATTACATGTGATATCACAGAACGTGCAATGACATGGAATGCAACCCCCATGCAAAGTGGGGGTTGCCTATACTTAAAAATGTATTTGACATGTTCAGTTATTTTAACTTTCTCTGTTGCAGTGACTTTTTTGAACGAACCATTCTGTGTAATAGCCTTGTGTGGAGTTGTGCTGTTACTGGTAAACCTGGACTCACATATCAAGAAGCACTAGAATCAGAAAAGAAAGCCCTACAAAATCTCCAGAACTTTCCAGAGCCACTTATTGTTCCAGTTCTATACTTAGTTACCCTCACTCAGCGCTCACGACTTCATGAAGTTTGTGATGACATATTTGCTTATATCAAGGACCGTTATTTTGTTGGTGAAATTGTTGCAGTACTTAGGAATAATGGTGAAAGGTAAGTATTTCTTATATTTGCCAGTTTTGAGATACATATTTATGGCTCTTGTAAAAAGAAAACAAAATCTAGGGTTATCTTGTGAACTGCTTAATTTTAAGTAGCTTTGGCTAGTCACATGGCTAGAATATGTGGTTAAATTTGAAGCTAGATCAGATTCTTCAACCCAGTTCCTTTTTTCCTTATCTGGAAGATTTTGACTGACAGATTAAGGGTTTCTGAGATACAAAGCATTATTCTGTATGTATAGAATGGGTGGGATATAAATCTAAAAAGCACACTGCCAGCATGATAATGTTTTATTTTCCTGTGTTTTCAATCATTTAAAAAACAATGGCCTCAATGCAGATGCATGAGATGCTCACCATGTTTAAATAATTTGTAATATGTAACAGATTTGAACTCCCTCCTCTCCTCTGTGTCCCAAACATTATGTCTGCATCAGCACTAACTTAATTTTCTTTAAAAAATAATTTGGAAACCCACTTCAAATATTAATTTCAAAATATAATTAAGAAAGCAAACATGGTTTTAGTGATAACTGGGGCTATTCAGCTATAATGCTACCCCATGGCTAAATGAAACCATAACTGGGAAGGAGAAATTCACACATGAGGAAAGGGAGAGTAGAAGGAGCCCATACCTTGTCCCTGATCTTCTAGTCATTCGTAGGATATCAGGAACTTCAGGTATACAACTGATTAATTTCAAACTGGAATCAACTTGTGAATTATGCTAGATGAAACCAAAAATTAATCCTCGAAACATGGAAGTTCTGTCTTCAAGTGCTCACCAAGGTTTGTTCTTGGCTTATGGCTCGTTATAATATGGGTCGAAGCTAAGCCATTGCTGGTCACATTCTCCCCACTCCTCCTAAGCTAATAGGTTGTCTTCTCTCTTATCCCCTTCTGTCATCTTACCTCCCATCCCCTATGTCCTTGTGTTGGGTTAGTCTACACAGAATGCTGCTGAACTGAAACAACTGCACTAACGAACACAGCTGTTTTAATGCAGTGAGCCCATATATGCTAAACGTAGTCTGGTCTATTATACAATTGGCAATGACTGTCCTGTACTTTACAGCAATAGCAATATGTATGTAAGTGTAACATCTATGCCGAGGTGTTAAATGCATATTTTCCTTTTGTATTGAACAATTTAATGGTTGTCTTCATTAGGTGACATTCTCACAAAAAATGGAGGCTTACAATGTGTCAGGAAGCAAATGGGCCATTATTAAGACGAGATTAGACAACAATCATGTTATCCTTGTTTATTTGGGTCATCAACTGTAATAAAGGATAATCTTTTTTGCTAGTGTAGATACACAGACAACATAGAACCTTTTATTTTCCCACTTTCTTGTGTTTAATATCTAGTTTCTCAGTAACATAACAGACATTCATTTTAAGATGTTTTCTTATCTGGATAAAACAAGAGGCTTTGTGATTAATGCTGAAAACCAAAACAGATAATTTAATATGACTGCTGTAATAAGACATTGTCAATAGGGTAAATGTATTACTGTATATAGCAGATGTACTCTCATACTTGCAATGTGCTGAAGACTCATATGTGGAAATTTTCCCTACTCTTTCATTGGTTTTCATTTCGGAGTACTGTTCTTCATGCAGATAGTCTTGCTTCATGCAAATAGTCTTTGCATAAGGAAAGTGAAAACAAATTAAGACTTTTGCCTTTTCAGGGGCTTACAAAAAGCATGAGAATGGCTGTAATAGGTAAAGGTAAAGGTACCCCTGCCCGTACGGGCCAGTCTTTACAGACTCTAGGGTTGTGCGCCCATCTCACTTAAGAGGCCGGGGGCCAGCGCTGTCCGGAGACACTTCCGGGTCACGTGGCCAGCGTGACAAGCTGCATCTGGCGAGCCAGAGCCGCACACGGAAACGCCGTTTACCTTCCCGCTGGTAAGCGGTCCCTATTTATCTACTTGCACCCAGGGGTGCTTTCGAACTGCTAGGTTGGCAGGCGCTGGGACCGAACAACAGGAGCGCACCCCGCCGCGGGGATTCGAACCGCCGACCTTTCGATCGGCAAGCCCTAGGCGCTGAGGCTTTTACCCACAGCGCCACCCGCGTCCCTAATGGCTGTAATACCCACGTATTATAGCACCACACAAACTTACACTAGTGCTTATGCAGTTGCAGAATAGCACTAGTGACTGTTTTTCTTCCCATGAAGAAAACTGTTTGCATCCCATAATAAATTATGGAACTACATGGATATGTGATAAGAACATAGATAAAGTTAAGCTGATTTTAAGTTCACAGACTATCCAAGGGTTAGAAGGAATGAGCATATACTTTACATTTGACTCTGCTCTTGAAACATTCTTCCCACTTTTTATCTGTCTGTTAGTGTAAAATGATATTGGATTGCAAACTACTTTTAGGTATATATTTCAGTAACTAAATCTTTTTGCACTAAAAAAAATGGTATGTTCTTATGTTTGCTTTGTTTCAGACTGCAGTGTAAGATTTTGGAAGTTAAAGCACCAGCGCATCAAAATGGAATGGCTAATGGCCACGTTAACAATTCCGATGGAGTCACTATCGTAATTAGTGATAGTGATGATTCAGACTTGGATACCAGTTCTGCACAAAATGGGTAAAAGATTAGTTTTATATTTGGAAAATATGGGTAGTTTTAAAAGGTTACAAAAAAACTGGATTAGAATAGTTGCTTAATGTAGAACCTCTATGCAGCCATTTTGCCTATAGTGGAATGGAATTACAACATTCCAGAATCTGAGAGGTCACCTGAGTTATGTGCATTTGTTGGAGCAGGTCAGCATATAAGCCTGGAATGCTGTGTCTGTGTGAAAATTAATACAATTAAATATTTTCCCTGTTGTTTAGGGCAACCATTTGGTTTTAAAAATACTAATTATATTCAAACTCTTTATGTGATATTATGTTTTGTACATTTTAATTACATTTAACTACATAATTAATTTCTTGTAGTTTGAAGGAGTTAATTCATTGAAATGTTGCACAGAAATGTTTCTGTTCAGAAGGAGGAAATTAATTGATATTTGTTTTTAGGAAGGAAAAAGCCATAACTGAAGCCTCCTTGTTCAAGTACAAAGTGAAGCCTATTAAGAAACAATTGTATGAATCTGTTACAGTGAAAGCATCTCAGATATGGTAAGCACTGAAGGCTGTGGTCCTACTGCCCTATATGCATATGAGGAGTAATGTTGAGTGAATAGCTCAAAAATAAACCAGTGGCCACACGCATACTAAAATGTCTGACAGGCAGAATGTGAATGGGCGAGTCTTTTCTCATAATTGCATTTTCATAGCAGAAAGGCTTAACCTGTTCAGTGTTGGCCAGCTACACAGCTCTTAAAGGCACAAAGACCCAAGGACAACCCTAAACCAAAGTCTAGGTTGTAATCCTTGAACTTACTCTCCCTGCATGCGTACACACTCACCGTACGAATATAGACCACAGGCACACATACATCTCTTCCTCTCCCTTTGCCAAAGTACACCTCTCATACGCCACACAGATAAACACGCACCTCTCTTACACACAGCACGTACATCTCTTCTCTCATAGACCATCCATCCATCTCTCTCTTTTTACACACACATGCATACCTATCTCCCATTCTCTCATCCCAAGGTCTCGATCATGTACAGGCACCCCCCCATCTGTTCAGTTCAGTTCACACGTGACTGCATGTATGTGCAGCCCTGGAAACCCGGAAGTGGCGGGAGAGACCTGAAGAGCATCAGCAAAGCCCTCCTGCTCCTCCAGCTTGCGAGGAGACCCTCCCTGGAGCCTGAAGGGGACATCCTCTACGGGCTCCGAGGAGGGTCTCCTTGTGTGCCGGAGTCGCAGTGGGGTTTAGCTGAGTCTCTTCAGCCTCCTGGCTAACATCTGACACGCAGGAAAGCGGCTGCTGCTGGGCTTTTCCGCTGGAGGCTAGTTGAGGGTGCTCAGCTGGTGTGTGGGGTCAGCTGAGCAGCCTCAAGCCTCTGACTCAAAAGGAGTTCCTCCCTAGAGCCTGAAGAGGACATCCCCTTTGAACTCCAGAGAAGGTCTCCTCAAGAGCTGGAGGTGCAGCAGGGTGCCCCCCCATTTATGCACATTTCCCTTATGCTCGGAGGGGGCCAGAATGTAATGTCTGCCATTCAAAACAAAAGAAAAACCTCCCTCCAAAACATTCCCAATCGCCCCACCAAAAATAATAAAAAAATACACAAGGTCCACAAACCTGGCGCCTGCAGATGCTGGATTATAGTGCTGTAAGAGCACTTGGTTAATCTTGACTCTATTTCAGGAATGATTTGGTATTTATATTACTTAATTAGAATTGCCAGGAACAGTAGTTCCTGAAAAAAATACTTGATAGAATAGTTTCCTCTTGAAAACTAAATTTAGGAACTATTTTAGTGTGCCAGTTCAGTTGGGAATCATCTTTGATATTGATGCGTGTTCCTTTTCTTTTTGTCCTGTGCCGTAGCCGGAGGAAACATCTATTTTCTCGTGACAGACTGAAGCTCTTTTTGAAGCAACACTGTGAATCGTATGATGGCATTGTTAAAATTAAGGTAATCAAAATAATTAAACAAGTTGAAGCAAGACTGTACTTTGATCACATTATGGGCAGTGAAATTAGTTTGATACCCAGTTTAGTTGTTGTGTTATCATGTGTGTGTGTGTGTGTGTGTGTAGAGTTTGATGCCACCATTAATTATTGCTTTATTGTTTGTTTTTAGCTATTCTTTAATATTGTGAACCACCTTGACTTTTTTTTAATCAAATAAGTATATAATTACAGTTTTCATGAAATGGTAAACTATGGTTTGACTGTCGTCAGACCTACATATACTGTACTATACAGTCCTTGTCTGGCCCAGGTTTTAGGTAAAGGATAGCTTGCTGTCAGTAGGGCATGAGAGTACACTAGGAGTGCATGAGCCCAAGCTGTTTTTATATGAATCAGCCTCAAGGTGTTCAGGCACTACACTTCAGAGATGAGAAAAACTCATTTTAAAAAAAGTCTCTAGTGGTAGTAGCAAGTACTTCTTTTATTTATTAGCCCAAACTTGTTTTCCAACTATTGTGCAATGCTACTACGGTTTCGTATAAATTGGAATCTGATTTGAGACAATAGTGGTGTATTTTTCATTGCAATGTTGCATTTGTGTTAAAAGGACACAGAAAAAGAAGATAATTCTCCACCCCAAATTCTCTCATGATTAATTTATTTCAGTGATGCTTACTAAAGAGTGTTCCGTTTACTACAGATACCTCATTCCTGTGGTGTTGATTAGGAAATAATGGCTAATGGTGTCTCTAAAACAGTAGCTTGTTAGCCAGTGTGTACATGCAAGAGCAGGCAGCCTTCTCAACAATCTTTCCCCATCTTTCTCTACAAGGCAATATCAGTTGCAAAATACAAGATAGCAGAACAGAATTTTTCCTACCTCTTTCCTGATGATCCACCCACTTTTGTCTTCAGTCCTTCAAACAGACGGCGAAGGAGACCTCCAAAGATGGCATCTGATGATCATGTAAGTAATGCAGTACTTGTTAATCTGCTTTTCTACAAGAAACAGCAGTGGATTGCATCCTACAGCAATTCAAACTGCAAAGTACCTTGCTATCTGTGTTTTTCATATTTGCTATTAGTTGTCTTAGGTAAGTCAAAATTGTTCCACAGTTGGCCATATAATACTCTGAGAGATAATAATTTATATACCAAGGCCCTGAAAGTCCATGGGCACAGGTGGGACTTAAAAACCTGGCCTCTCATATGCAATGAGGCTGGATTAAACTGGTGTTTACATTTGGAATGACAGTAGTCAAAACTTGCTATTGCCACAAAATAAAACACATTTCTCATTTTATTCATTCATCGTATACATTTTAACTTGGCGATATGTTCCACCAAGCTGTTAAAAGATTTCAGTTTTTCAGTTATTGCCCTTTCATGAGTTTCTCCTTTTGTCTTCAGGAGGATTTCGTTGCAAAAGAGCAGTTTAGTCCTAGAAATGCAAGCAGTGCAGCAAAAGAAAGGGCAAGACTCCAAAAAGAAAAAGACGAAATGAGAGCCATGGGTAAGTACAAGCTCATGCGATGAATAAGCTTTTTTTTTTAGATGAAAAACATGCATAATGGGCTGGCTTTTGTTGATTCTGTAGAAGTAGTGCTGTAGTTTTTAGTGTATTATCCTTCAAAGAAAGAAGCTGTTGCAGTCCTGTCTCAAAAGAGGGCCTTTTCTGAAGCTGTGCCTCAGTTGTGGAACTCTTTTTGCCACAGGTTCATTTAGCCCCTTCACTCTTATGACTGCTTTGTTTAGCCGGGCTTTCTTTTTCTTTTTAGTCTATGTAATTTTATGCCATGTTACATGTTTTAACTAGTTGCTGATTTTCCTCTTTACTATTTCCCCCCCATTTGTTGTTGTCATTTAGTCTTGTCCGACTCTTCGTGACCCCATGGACCAGAGCACGCCAGGCTTTGGTCCCCCCATTATTGTATTACTATTGTCTTTTATTTATGTGCTAGCTGAATTGAGCACTATGTTTTTACCTGAAAGGTGGGATATAATCATAATACATCATATTAGCTTGGAAATAAATCCCTCTGACATACGCTTACAGCCAGAACTATAATTACTTCCCAGTAATTTGGATTGGGATTGTAGTCATAGCATGTCTGTTTGGGGCTGTTTCCTTGAACGTAACATGGCCAGATTTGATTAACTTGATCTTGAAGTGTGGTTTATATAAATAATTTCTTTTAAAAGAATAATACAACTCTAGTTCTCCTGTCCACTTTTTGAAAAAGAAAAATTGAAAAGAGAAAAGACAACTGCTATAGAATCCAAGAAGAAAGAAAGAGAAGATAAGGAAAAAAGGAAGGAAGAACTTAAGAAGATTGTGGAAGAAGAAAGGCTTAAGAAGAAAGAAGAGAGAGAGCGACTCAAAATAGAAAAAGAAAAGGTCAGGTACTCCCCACCTGGGTTCCTAATAGTTTGAAATGGCACTAATAGTTTAAAATATATAGCTACATTTACAGGTTCCCAGTACAGTCGTACCTTGGTTTTCAAACAGCTTAGTTCTTGAATGTTTTGGCTCCCGAATGCCGCAAACCTGGAAATGGCTGTTCCAGTTTGCAAACTATTTTTGGAAGCTGAACATCCAATGGAGCTTCCGATTGGCTACAGGACCTTCCTGCAGCCAATCAGAAGCAGCACTTTGGTTTCCAAACATTTTGGAAGTTGAACGGACTCCGTTCAACTTCCAAGAAACAACTGTACTTAGGAATATGAATCACAGTACAAAGAAGAGTAGGACACATTGCTGTTTCTTCACCTGCGTGGTGAAGGAGAACGTGTCTGCAAAATCGTAAATAGCTTCCTACATAGAGCTTTTCATCACTATCCAAAGCCCCCTGGATAGTGTGAGTTAAAATTCTAAATTGCGGTCTCAGTTACAAGGTTTAATTTTCACGACATTGTTGCAATCCTTTCTTAATGTGTGTAGTGTTATGTTGAGGCATTACCAAAATTAGGTTAAAGGTAAAGGTAAAAGTACCCCTGCCCATATGGGCCAGTCGTGTCCGACTCTGGGGTTGTGCGCCCATCTCACTTAAGAGGCCGAGGGCCAGCGCTGTCCGAAGACACTTCCGGGTCACCTGGCCAGCGTGACAAAGCTGCATCTGGTGAGCCAGCACAGCACACGGAAACGCCGTTTACCTTCCCAGTAGTAAGTGGTCCCTATTTATCTACTTGCACCCGGGGGTGCTTTCGAACTGCTAGGTTGGCAGGCGCTGGGACCGAGCAGCGGGAGCGCACCCCGCCGCGGGGATTCGAACCGCAGACCTGACGATCGGCAAGTCCTAGGCGCTGAGGTTTTACCCACAGCGCCACCCGCGTCCCATGTAAAATTAGGTTACCTGTGTCTAATCAGATACAAGCTATTTTCATACTGTTTGAAATAGGAATTTTATTCATAATATTTGATGGTTTTTTCTAAAGTAATAAAGGAAACCTAGGATACAAGGGTTAAAATCCTCCATCAGCCATGAAGTTCAGTGGGTGACTTGGGGCCAGTCACTTTCTCTTAACTAACCTACAACAGGTTTGTTGAGGGGGGTGCAGAATGGGAGGAAAAATCTTATGTATACCACCTTGAGCTCTTTGAAGGAAAGGTGGGAAATAAATGTAATAACATAAATGATACATTTCTTTTGAAAAAAATAATCCTTTATTGTCATTACCAAGATATGTAAATAAATAGAATCATGTATACTTATGTGAAACAGTCAATATCCTAATTATGTTATCTGTTTTCTTAACTAAAGTAGTAAATTCCGTAAGCATCCAGAGCAACAGTTAAAGAAAATTATGCAATACCAATAATTAGTAAATTATAACTGTTGCTTAGATTAAATTATAAACCCAATTTCTTACAAGATTTCCAGTAAAAGTACATGGATTGACATTATCTTGAATTTTATTACTCCAATGCATAATCTAAATACAGCTGTTTTTAACTATTTTGGTGGTCATTCTCTGTGTAATTGCAGGAAAGAGAAAAGCTTCGCGAAGAGAAAAGGAAATACCTGGAACATCTAAAACAATGGAGTAAGCGTAGAGAAGACATGGAATGTGATGATCTTAAGGTAATGGAACTTCAGAGAGAGAGAGAGTCCACAATCCAGAAATATTTGTGTGTGTATTTAAGCATTGTTTTTCAGACCTTTTCTGTGGCTAGAAAAGTTGCCCGATCTGCTGAAATTGTAAATCCACCATATGATTATGACATACCTTCTCCCCTTGTGGGGGAAAAGGACTTAAAATGATGGTTGTGCAGTTTCAGAACTTTTTATATTTCATAGATAATAATTTAAGTCATAAGTTTTGTAATTTGCAAAGCAATCCTCTACTTGCATTAAGTGTGCCATTGTGAGTGAGTCCTGCAGTCATAGCCCTAAACATGCTACCATCCCATCCCTGGGAAATAGCAAGAACAGGAGGCCATTGCCTACTATGGGGCACAGAGGGCATATGAGCTTTAATCAGGGCAGCAGAACACCGCCCACATCTGCCAGAGCACCAAAGCAGGGGCCACAGAGCGATGGAGGCACTTGGGACATGCAATGTCTGCCTGTTTTCTATTTATTAATATTTATACATCACTTGATTGTTTTAAAAAACAAAACCCGGCAACCTCAAAGCAGTTTAGAAAAAGATAAGAAAATCAAGAAAATTTACAATACTTTCAAACATACAAAAAGTGAAAATACTATGAGCTATTGCTTCAGATGTGGGGAGGCCGCCACAGCAGTTAATTCTTCAGTGCATGATCCCATCATTCCTTGCTTAATTGTGTGGGATGTTTTCTGGCACCCACAGTTGCCTTTCCCACCCTGCTGTGTCCCTCCTGTAGGGTTTATATGCTGGTGATGGTGTGCTGTAGATGGTATTGAGTTGCACCATATCCTGTGTTGAGGCTGATATGAACCGAGTGGCAGCTATTATTTCTCCCTTCCATTGAAATTAATAGGAGAATTAATTTTTCTCAGTTTGGCAAGACCAGCACAAGACATTGCACTACATGTGGTCACCTCTTGTGGCCTGTATTCTCACTCACTCTGGGTAGTCATTGTAATCTTTTTGGCTATCAAAAATATATCTGTTCAACATAATAAACATGAGCCAAATCTGTTGTGATGTATGTTGTTGATTATTCACCGCATATGTATAACTGAAACATACAATAAATATTTACTTTGCATCACAGGAACTTCCAGTTCCAACTCCAGTGAAAACCAGACTACCTCCTGAGATCTTTGGTGATGCTGTCATGGTCTTGGAGTTTCTCCATGCTTTTGGTGAACTCTTTGATCTTCAAGATGAGTTTCCTGATGGAGTGACTTTAGGCAAGTGAATCTTTAGGCAAACTGAATCTACAGGAAACATGAGGAGCAGATTTTGCAAACATCCTGTCTACAGATTTTGTTTTGCGGGGGAGGAAAGAAACAGTTTCTCTTCCTTCCCAGAATGCATTAATGATGCAATATTGGGAGTACAGCTATGGATCTGGGTTGGCTTAGGTGCCTCCAGTTGACATTAGTTTTAATATATTTTATTCACTGCTCGTTATTTCATATATGCTGCTTTTCAGCAATCCTGATCTGGGCAACTATATGTGCTCAGATGCATGCATGGATCTTTCATGTGGCCAAATATCCCCATTCATTTCAAGTGCACATGCTGCCCTGTGGGATTCTGCAAAATGAACTTTGCCCTTTCTTTGAAACAATTGAAGAGATGATCCACCTGCCTTTCTATGCACTTGAGCCTGGAATAAATTGCTGGATCACAGCAATTGTTTCTCTAGTTGACCTATTTGGCAAATATCCTGGGTATTGACTTGATTAATATTTTGACAATCACATAACATAGGAACAGCTTTCAGTTTTTTCACTGTGTATTTGTAGCAGTTTGAACAAATACACTTTTTCTTATTTACAGAGGTTTTAGAGGAAGCTCTTGTTGGAAATGACAGTGAAGGTCCACTATGTGAATTGCTGTTTTTCTTCTTGACGGCCATTTTTCAAGCCATGGCTGAAGAAGAAGAAGAAGTGGCCAAAGACCAAATAGCTGATGCTGAGACCAAAGGTCAGACTTCAACTGTGCTTCTTAATGCAAAGCTTGCATACTAATAAGCACGCATACTAATTTGCATGCACGAGAATATTTCAGTTAACATTGCTCCACATCGGTGCGCATGATTGCTATAGAAAAACAAAAGTTTGTCAGGTGCTAGCTGCAGCGTTGATTCTGGTGTGTACTGCAGGTGCTCTTTTAATTTTTGTTTAAAGGCAAGCTTTCCCATTATTAGACACAGCAAGAATTTCACATTGGCGGGTTTTCAAGAAGTCTCAAAACTTAACACATCCCTTTAATTAAAAAAATTCTTCAGAATTCAGTAACTTTGCTGAAGATTCAGAAGATACTTCTTTCTCACCAGCAGTGTAAGCTACATAATTTTCAGAGGGGTAGCTGTGTTGGTAGCTGGTAGCTCTTGTGCAAAAACTAAAAAATTAAAAAAAATTGTTGTAAGGCTTTTATGGACTATTATAGTCTACTCATTGGATGAAAGTTTGCCATGATAAAGTGCTGTAAGACTTCTTGTTGTGTCAGCTAAATAATAATCAGGCATCATAACAGTGCATAGCTTTACTATTCATTTCTTCAGTGACAGTAGTATTGTCATCCACAAACTGGAACACCTGGTCCAGATTTGTAATAGCACACTTCTTAGCTAATGTAATTATTTTCCAAAGGGCACACTTTTAAATCTATTGCAGCATTTGCAGACTTTGAATACTCTTTCCAAGGTATGCTGTGGCTCAGGTGGTGGTTTATTTTTATTTCCTTTGTTGCAGACTTGTAAGAGAAGAGAAACCACATAACAAATAGCTTGTTTGTTGATTTATAGTGATATTTTTGCCACACACAGCAGTCACATCTGAATAAAGTAATAAAAGAGCAAACAGAAAAGGGGCATAGCTCAGCTGCAGAAAATCCACTTTGCTCGTGGAAGGCTCCAGATTCAATCCCTGGAATCTTCAGGAAGGGCTGGGAAAAACTTCTCCCTGAAACTTGGAGAGTTTATGCAAATCAGGGAGACAAGACTGAGCTAGATGAGCTACTGTTCTGACTCAGAAACATTTGCTCCAACATTCATGTTTTGTTTTGTTTTTAACCCTGAGGACTAGAATATTGACGGGACCCCCCCACTGCTCTCCCATTTTTTTATCAGAATTTGTCTGGTAAGGGCATTTTCTCTAGTTTAAGTGTTTGCATTCCCTTAACACTGGTGTGGGGAACCTTCTGCCCTCCAGATGTTGCGGAACTATATAACACCCATCATCACTGGTCATTGGCTATGCATGCTGGGGCTGATGGAAATTGTAGTTCAGCAACATCTGAAGAACCAAAATTTCCCTACACCTGCCCCAAACTGAGTACTTTTACACCTCTTCTCTGGAACCAGTACAATAATAGTTGTGGTATAGTGCATAAAAGAAATATATATAGAAAAGAAATATATATAGTTGATGTGTGCTTTGTAGAGTCAAGTGCATCAATCTGAAAATTCTGTTTGATCTCACACACCATTCAGAGAAATAGGATTTTTTGGGAGAAAGCAAAGCTGCATGTGATTCTTCCTTTGTGCAAGGAAGATTTAGTCATTATTCTGTTGAGAGGAAATCCAAATGACTTCGTTCTGGCAAATCAGTTGCAGGGGGGAATTGTGCTTTTTCCACACTCAATCAGTAGTCATTGTTGAACATGGGATTCCTTGGACCCACAAGTGAAACTTTTATTGCCGTTTGGAGTAATTTAGTCGTATGTAGACTGTTCCGAGCACCTATTGGTATTGCTAGTGTGTATCTGATTGCCTTTCTCTCATGCATATATTATGTTAAACTTTGACTCACTTAAATTGAAAACTTCCCACTGCAAGATTCTAGATGCAATACTCCTTTGCTTAATTGTAAAGTCAAGTTTTTGTTTTGAATCATTCATAGCTTTGACTGAGGCATTCTAAACAAACTCACAATTGTAGGGTAGGCATGCCCATAGTTCTGTGTTACGGCTCTCCATATTTTGGTTGGGCTGCATTCATACGTATAACTTGGCAGAAGCTGTTAAAGAGAAAATATATTAACTTTTGTGAATGGAGGCTTACCGTATGTCCAGTATAGGATAGTGCAGTTCTGCTTTGTGGAGATTGGTAGTTCTCTCTAGTGATCCTGAACTGGGATGTGAGAGGACCTCATTCGGGGGGGGGGGGGGAGGGAAATAACTTCAGGAATAAGGAATTTGCTTTCTAAAGAAGGGTATTTCGTCTTGCTGTTTCCGACCCTTAAAGAATAATACTTATTAGCCTATCTTTGGTGATATGTAGAACCTTCTGTCTTGGATAACATTGATACCGCTGTATATAAACTTCTGAACCTGGCTTATTGATATGCTTCCTGATCAACTGTGTAGAATATGGAATCTCATGTGTAATGTGGTAAATCAGCACTGACTGGCTGCACAGACAGGCTGCTGGCATCCATAATTCGTTTCTGTAGGCATAATCATAATGAAGTAATTATAAGAATGTAGTAATAAGATGCTATTTGATTTCTCTCAGTAAACCTTTTTTACAAGAGCATTTCATGGGTTTATCTTTCTTTGCATGTGTGTGCTTGTGCTCTTGCGGTCAAGTTGTTTGCAATGCAAGAAGCTTTTAGGGAGTGCTGCATGCTTACTCTGCTTTTAGGTAGTATGCATATGTTTGTTGCACGGCAACTTACAAAAATTACAAGTTTATATGCTGTCTCCGCATTGCTTAGAAAAGACTTGCTTGCTTCGCCTCCGAAATGCAAGTGTTAATTTTCACTAGAATAAAGTCTTTATTTCCTTAAAGATTTAACAGAGGCTTTGGATGAAGATGCAGACCCCACAAAATCTGCACTATCTGCAGTTGCAACTTTGGCAGCTGCATGGCCCCAGTTACATCAGGGTATGTGTGGGTTTCACTTTTTGTTACGTTTTGCACTATTTTACAAAAAAAAGTATAATTCACATTGTTTGCTAAATACTCTTAGTAGCCAAATGGTCTAACACTCATTCCGTTGTTAACTGTAGGTTGCAATTTGAAAAACTTGGATCTTGATAGCTGCACTCTTTCTGAGATTCTCAGACTTCATATCCTAGCATCAGGTGCAGATGTAACATCAGCCAATGCTAAATATCGTTACCAGAAGCGAGGAGGATTTGATGCTACAGATGATGCTTGCATGGAGCTAAGACTGAGTAATCCTGGGTTGTTGAAGAAACTCTCGTGTACTTCCGTGTATGATCTATCATCGGGTAATAGAGCCAAATTAATATGTCAAGTTACATTTCAGAAGTTTTCAAGAATGGTTTACTAGGACAATGTCAAGAAAAATCCTATTTTGTCTCTTGAAGCATAACCACTAATACCTTTTAGCCCTAGAAGTTATACAAATTTAATTAAATAATGATGATAATAAAGATTGGGGCTAGGTAGGTGATTTAGGCTGCAATCCTATATAGGTTTACCTGAGAGTAAGTTCCATTGAAGGCAGTGGGCTTACTTTTGCATTGGATTGCACTACGTATCTTGTGGAAGTCTGTTTAATTTTCTACATGAGCTTATGTCTGTTTTTCTAAGAATCATTAGCCATTATCAGTTGAGCTACTGATAGTATATGAACGTTGGGTATTTTTACTTGCTCTTTTGTGTTTGAACAGTAGGTCCCCCATTATATATAACAAACTGCTTTGTTTCAAAAGTGTTTTGCTGTATGGCACATGCTGGGTGGGTTCATAGTCAAAAAAACACAAGCCCAGAAGCTCCTTTTGGATCAGGTTTATATTAGACTGGAAAACAGCTTGCAAGAAGTTCATATATTGTACACACAGTTAAACATGTTGAAGATTCTATTGGTAAACTATGCCATAAAACAAGGTGACTAAACTGAAATGGCACAACCCTCCTTGTACTAGGTTTACATCTTGTCAATCTCTATGGATTAATGAGCCCAAAGGTCACTGACAGATTAAAAATAGATACCTTACTTTATTGATGAAGCTTTACTGACCAGTTCACATGATTATTCTGTGACTTCTGAATTGAAGCATCAATCTGTATTCATTTTATTAGGGGAGAAGATGAAGATTCTTCATGCCCTCTGTGGGAAGCTTTTGACTCTTGTTTCTACTCGAGACTTCATTGAGGACTCTGTTGATGTATTACGACAGGCAAAACAAGAATTCAGAGAGTTAAAAGCAGAACAGCACCGGAAAGAAAGAGAAGCTGCAGCAGAAAGGTGACAAGAACACAGATGCCCAAATATGAGCACGATAAAGCTAAACGGGGGCTTTTCCAGAAGCGTGGCTTCTAAAATTGAAAGAGCCTACTAGAAATATTCAATTTTAGAAATTGAAAGAGCCTACTAGAAATATAGGGCGTGGGTGGCGCTGTGTGTTAAACCACAGAGCCTAGGGCTTGCGAATCAGAAGGTCGGCGGTTTGAATCCCCGCGACGGGGTGAGCTCCCGTTGCTCGGTCCCTGCTCCAGCCAATCTAGCAGTTCGAAAGCACAAAGTGCAAGTAGATAAATAGGTCTCTGGCGGGAAGGTAAACAGCGTTTCCGTTTGCTGCTCTGGTTCACCAGAAGCGGCTTAGTCATGCTGGCCACATGACCCGGAAGCTGTACGCCGGCTCCCTCGGCCAATAAAGCGAGATGAGCACCACAACCCCAGAGTCGGCCACAACTGGACCTAATGGTCAGGGGTCCCTTTACCTTTACTTGAAATATAGTAGTAAAACCTGTTTGTCTGTCATAATCCAATTTAGAAAAGTAAACACATTTATGGTGTATTTGATTAATCTTATTTCAAACATTTTTTTACAAGGTATCTGATATATTTTCAATATAAAAATTTATTCTAAATTAGGAAGTTGTTCTTTGGAACTGAAAACTGCCTTTATACCAAGCCAGACCAGCTGGCTCAATAGAGCCTCTACTGGGTGGAGAACCTATAGCCCTCCAGATGTTGCTGAAGTAAAACTCCCAGCATCCCTGACCATTAGTTGTGTTGGCTGAGGCTCATGGGAGCTGCAATCAAACAATATCTGAAGGGCCACAGATTGCTAGAGGGGATGAATCACCAGCTTGGGGGATAAAAAAGGCAACCCCAACCCTTAACTGGCCCCTTTTTGCAAAACTCTTTAAGTGTTTTTGCCTGGCTGGAATGACTGCTTGAACTCTGATAATACATTTTGCTTTACTGGAAGGAGGGTAGAAAAGGGTGTTTGTAGCAACTAGACTACTTGCACAAAGATAACATTTACATTAATTGCTGTGCCCACTTGTGGCTCTGGCCCTGTCAATCAGTGGCCCTTGGGAATTTGTCCCCATGTCTGAAGAAAACTTCCCACCCCTGGTCTTACATCATCATGACTTCCCAACTGTTTTGAGTCCATGAGCACATTTGGAATTGTATTAAGAGTATTGTGAAAATGACCACTGCTGTAGGGAACAGGAGCAGTTACGAAACATTGAGAGTATCAGTATGCTCTTCTTGTTTTATTTCCATGTGTGTGTACTGCACACTCTGATTACACACACACATGCAATGGAGTGGGAGAGAGAGAAAGCCCCAAACAAAGAGGGGTGGGGCGGGGCCAAAAAAACATACAAAGCAGGAAGGAAGAGAACCACAGAGAAAGAGAATGCATAAAATGGTGAAAGGTGGGGGAAGCTCAGCCATGGATGGAAGAGCAGGAAAGGGCCAGTCTAAGTCTAGCATTGGTGTAGGACAGGGATCAGCAACCTTTTTCAGCCGTAGGCCAGTCCACTGTCCCTCAGACCATGTGGGGGGCCGGACTATATTTTGAAGGGAAAAAAAGAATGAATTTCTATGCCCCACAAATAACCCAGGGATGCATTTTAAATAAAAGCACACATTCTACTCATGTAAAAACACCAGGCAGGCCCCAGAAATAACTCAGAGATGCATTTTAAATAAAAGGACACATTCTACACATGTAAAAACACCAATTCCCAGAGCATCCGCAGGCCGGATTGAGAAGGCGATTGGGTCGCATCCGGCCCATGGGCCTTAGGTTGCCTCCCCCTGGTGTAGGAGAAGCCCCCACTCGTCATAGCTTTACTGGTAGCTGCAGTAATTACTTCCTGCTTCTCTGCTCAGCAAAAAAGTAGTGAAATAATTGTCCTGTGTCTCTCTCCTCCCCTTGGGCTTCCTGATTTCTCCATGTTCCTGATAGTGTGCTGTAAAAAAGAGGACAGCCTTGTGTGGACACAATGAAAGATATCTGAGCATGCCATGGCATCCACAGGTGTTTCTTTGGGGAAAGGTGCCTTATACTGCCCGACAGCAGCTCTTCAATGTTTCAGATGGAGTTCTTTCCTATCCCTGCTTGTAAATGCCAGGGAACGAACCTCAGACCTTTCAAGTGCAAAACATATGCTCATCTGTTGAACAATAAGCTTTTAGTACTATTTATTTTAGTGATATTTATTAGGTACCATGGCCTTCATCCAGAGATTTCTGTGCATCAAGGTGCACTTAAGGATCTCCTGCATGTTGGGTCTCTGTTCTTTTCAGTAGAGCGATGTAATTAGAGGAAAGGGTTGATTACACTGTATGCTCCAACTAACCATCTGTGTGTATTGTATAACATCAGAATCCGCAAGAAAAAAGAAGAAAGACTAAAAGGACAAGAACTAAAGATGAAAGAGAAGCAAGAGAAACTGAAAGAAGAGCAGAAAAATCCTGCAATTGACGTTTCAATTGGGTATGATCAGTTGTTAATAATTAAATATATAATTAGGATAAGTGCTTAATTTCACATGCTGGGTTAGTGTACACAGTTTCAATTTAAATATTTCCATCAACAATAAAAACTTCTTAGATTATCTTGCTTTCTGGTTATTATATTTACGTAATATGATCACAGGAAGATAAAACAGTTAAACATATATCAAATTTTATACTATAGGTGAGATAACATAGTAAAAGAGTTCAATACACATGCATGCACATTGATCTTTATTATAAAGCACTTTGGAAAATCAAATGTGACCTATCAAAAGCCAGCCCAGCCAGATCCGTTTTCATCTCCAGTAAATGTGGACAGTGTGGAGTTCTCTGCTTGTGGTTTAATGTGGCGCACAGTGCAATTTTGCAGACTGCGCTCTATGGTGTGTGATAATATGCTATGCATGTGCAATTCCCTATAACTCTTTGAACTTGAGGGCTTTATATTTTTTGGTATGTCTATTGTATCAGTGAGGAGGAGCGGGAAGAGCTTGATACAAGCACAGAGAGCAAAGAAACTGAATCAAAGGAGCAAGACTTAGATGCTATGACAGATGAGGAAGATGACATTGTGCCAAACAAAAAGAGAAGAGGAGGTAAGTTCATTTCTAGTGCATTTTCATTGCTATGTATTGATTTTCTATTGCTGTACGTTCTTGCTTCTAGGGTTTTTAATGGAAGGCAAGCATAGAGTTAACTTCACTACCTGCATCATCCTGTTAGATAGACCTTCATTTTTTCTATGGATTTATAATTCCATTGATCTAGTTTGATACTAAGGCTGCCTCATTCATTACTCTTTTCCATCATGGGTTTCTAATACTTGTATCTACGGTACAAAACCTTTCCCCTCGTTTTATGAGCCAGCACAGTAGAGTAGTGGTTAGAGTGATGGACTAGAACTGGAGGAGACCCACTTAACCATGATGTTCACAAGGTGCTCTTGGGTGTAACTTATCTCCCAGGGTTGTTGTGAAAATAAAAGAGGAAGGAAGAAGAGCCATGTACACTGCCTTGAGCTCCTTGAAGGCGAGGTGGAATGCAAATGTAAGAAATTAGTTCAGAAACATGCAGAAGACAGAATTTCCATATAAAAATTGTGAATTGGGCCTATAAAGACATTAGTTGATTGATGGTACAAAAAGAGCAGAAGAAAAATTTAGAAGTTACGATATCTTGCTACCTGCTTGAAATTTTCTTGTGTTATTTGTTTGGGCAAACGCCTGCTTGTGCTACTCTAAGCTACCTGTGCTATGTATAGTTGTGTCACTTTGGTCAGTGAGTGGCCAGGTAATGTATTAAATAAAGAAATAAAACATTTTTGCTTGCTCTTTCAGGAAGAAGACAGAATGGCTTTAAAGATCTGGCAAGGCAAATAGAGACAACTGGTGAAAAACGTGAGCCACTCACTCCAGAGGAGGAAGAAGCTTTAAAACAGGAACAGCAAGCAAAAGAAAGGGAACTTACAGAAAAGATTCAGAAAGCCACAGCCTGTACAAATATCTCTCCTTTGGGCCGGGACCGCCTATACCGACGCTACTGGGTTTTCCCATCTGTTCCAGGATTATTTGTGGAAGAAGACTATTCTGGTCTTACAGAAGATATGTTGTTGCCTCGGCCGTCTTCATTTCAAAATAATGTACAGAGTCACATTGCAGATAAATCTCAGACTGCTACTAAAACTTCAGAGTCTTTGAAGACAGAATCTACCTCTAACAGTCACCAAGATTTCCATACTGGTGCTACTGTACAGGTGTCGTTGCCAATACATAAGCCAAACCGGTGGTGCTTTTACAGTTCTCAGGAACAACTGAACCAACTTCTAGCAGCTCTCAATTCCAGAGGATACAGGGAAAGTGCCTTAAAGGAAATTCTTTTGCAGGAAAAAAACAGAATATCTAAACAACTGGACAGTTTTGCTGTAGAAAAATTCCACATTTCAGGTAAATATTCTGGATTTTCTTGAGTATATCGTGGGTGGGGCTTGCCTGCGCCTTACCTTCTCCACTGCTTGCTTCCTTCCTTCCTTCCTTCCTTCCTTCCTTCCTTCCTTCCTTCCTTCCTGTGCTGGGTACCGGTTTCACCCCAGTGCCTTGCAGAGCCAATGCAACTTGCTCCTCCCTCAACTATTCAATGCCGCAATGTGTCACTATATCACGATGTTTGGCTGGTGATAGCAATGTTGAAAAGCTGATATCACCCAGTCCTATTCACAGTACAAAATGTGAACACAAAATACATAATTAAAAACAAGAACGAGAATGAAAACAAACCAATAACCCCTGCTCCCACAAACACATTTAAATGTTAAGCAGCCAGAACCAACGCGGGACGCGGGTGGCGCTGTGGGTAAAATCTCAGCGCCTAGGACTTGCCGATCACATGGTCAGCGGTTCGAATCCCCACGGTGGGGTGCGCTCCCGTCGTTAGGTCCCAGCGCCTGCCAACCTTACAGTTCGAAAGCACCCCCGGGTGCAAGTAGATAAATAGGGACCGCTTACCAGTGGGAAGGTAAACGGCGTTCCATGTGCTGCGCTGGCTCACCAGATGCAGCTTGTCACGCTGGCCACGTGACCTGGAAGTGTCTGCGGACAGCGCTGGCCCCCGGCCTCTAGAGTGAGATGAGCGCACAACCCTAGAGTCTGGCAAGACTGGCCCGTACGGGCAGGGGTACCTTTACCTTTTTAGCCAGAACCAAAGGTCTGATTAAAGAGAAACTTTTTGCCTGATGCCTAAAGATATGCAATGAAGGTGCCAGCTGAGCCTTTCTGGGGAGAACATTCCACAAACGGGGAGCCACCACAGAAAAAGCAGTGTGCACCTGCTCATTCGCATTAAAACAAAGTAGTGTAAACTATGGCTTAATGTAATATTCAAAGCCATAGCCTAGCTTGCCATTTTCTGCTGGAAAACAAGTGTTGTCTTACACAAAACAAACCAGAAAAAATATAGTTTATGGATGTTGTTTGATACAATAGCACAGAAGTGGGGAACCATGTCCCAGATCCTTAGAAGAATTGGCCTTGCTGGCCAAATGAGGCAGGTGGCTTCTCTCATCAACCTGTGGTTGCCTGTTTTCTGCTAGAACGTGTGCCCTCAGTGCAGGATTGAATTCCACCCTCTCACCCTTTAACTGGCATCACAAGTGCAGTCAGTTGATTGACAGGTAGGTGTGGTTTGAGGGAAATGGGATTCATGGGACATATTGGACCACCCTGCAGGCCAGAGGTTCCCCGCCCCTCTGCAATAGCAATTTACCACTGCATTCCAAATAACAGCCTTCTAATTTGAAGCTGTCTTGGGTTTTACACTTTCCATATTTGTGGTCATTTGAGCTGATGTGAATTTTTTGTTTTGGGAGAAAAAAATGTAATTGGCTTTGGTGATACTCGCCTATCTATACTGCTCTTAGACAATGTGTTTAGGTGGCATGCTTTTGGTCTTGGTTTGAAGGAGTTGTAACTTCTTTATATTTTAATGCTCATTTGGAAACTGCTACTTAAGGTATTGGTTACTTTTACAGAGAAACCTCAAAATGAAAGCAAGTTGTATCCAGTACGTGGGAAAACACAGAATACATATGATGCAGCTCCGATGTCTGCAGAAAAGCAGCTTGAATTGAGACTCAGAGACTTTCTTTTGGATATTGAAGACAGAATCTATCAAGGAACTTTGGGCTGTATTAAGGTATTTTACTATTTCTGTTTTTATGATGAATATTGTGCCTTAAAACCTGCTTGACCTCTGTGGACATAATACCTTGCCCTCAAACCAGAAGACCTTAATAATTTTAAACCAAAGCAAATGTCCCCTTTTGGGCAAGGTTCTTGAGAGTGGTTGCCAGCCGGGTCCAGGTATTGTTGGAGGAGGCAAATCTTTTAGATCCATATAAATCTGGGTTTCGGCCTATGATGGAGAGAGACAGGGAGTGCTGGTTATTTCTTGTTCTCCTGTGATGTAATACAGTGGTACCTTGGGATAAGTACTTAATTCGTTCCGGAGGTCTGTTCTTAACCTGAAACTGTTCTTAACCTGAAGCACCACTTTAGCTAATGGGGCCTCCTGCTACCACCGTGCCGCCGGAGCACGATTTCTGTTCTCATCCTGAAGCAAAGTTCTTAACCCGAGGTACTATTTCTGGGTTAGCGGAATCTGTAACCTGAAGTGTATGTAACCTGAAGCGTATGTAACCTGAGGTACCACTGTACTGAAAAGTGGGGTTAGCTCTCCCAGTGCTTGAAGCCAGGAATGAAGTCGCCTCACAAGAAACTTTTCCAGCTCCATTTCCTTGAAGCAACCCCAGTTACTTTCCTGCCTTTCATTTGAGGCAGTAGCATTTCTGCATTTTTAAAATTTTATTTTGCATTTCTGCTATATCAGTGTGATTCAGGCCTGTGTTCCTGTGTCTGGTTTTGTTGGTTTTTGTTCGCTGTATACTCAGGACACATTTAGTGTTGTTAACGGTGGATACTTGTGATTTTTACTTGTTAAATGAATCAATTTAGAAAGTGAGTTAATTTGGATAATGGACTGGAAGAGCGCCAAAACTGAAGCTTTATCCAAACAAGATTGAAATGCTGCTGGTGGGTGATTCCTCTTACCAGCTGAATAGTGTGCAGCCTGCTCTATATGGGGTCACACTCCCTCCAAAGGGAGTGAGTTTGTAGTTTGATGATTCTCCTAGATCCATTGCTGTCACTAGAGGCACAGATGGCCCCTGTGGTGTGGAGCGATTTCCATCAGCTTAGACTGGTAGCTAAACTTTATCTGGACAGGATAACTTGGCTACAGTAATCTATGCTCTTGTAATCTCAAGGTTGAACTGATGCAATGTGCTTTATGTGGGGCTGCCTTTGAAAACAGTTCTGAAGCTTCAGTTAGTGCAGAATGCAGCTGGCCAGCTGTTGACAGGTTCCAGGCAAACAGTTCATATTACACTAAATCTGATACATCTATTATAGCTGCCAATATGCTTTCAAGCCACATTCAAAGTGCTGATTTTTACTTAGGAAGCTGTTTATGACTCAGGATCTTTTGGAACACCTATTCCAATATGAACCTTCACAGACTCTTGGAACTTCTTCAGAACCCCTTCTCCATGTCCCCCCTCTGAGGGAAGCTTGGAGGGTGGTGGCAAGGGCATGGGTCTTTTCAGTTGCATCTGTGGAATGCTCTCCCCCAGTGAGGTCCACATAGTACCATTATTGAAATCTTTCTGGTGCCAAGTAAAAACTTCTCTTTTTTCCCTCAGTGTGCTGCCAAGCTCTCTGTGGCTGTTAAATACATTATTTTTTATTTTTTAATGGTATAATGTGTGTATATTTATGTTTTTAAATGTGTTATAAATCACTTGGAGACCTTTGGGTAACAAGTGACTAACAGGTCTAATAATTAATAATTTTCCATTTGCTTGAAAATGCAACTTTTAAAATCAGCTTTGTTTTAAGCCTTTCAATAATTGTATTATGCTTTATAGGTAGCAGACAGGCAAACTTGGAGGACAGCCTTAGAAAGTGGGCAATATGAGTTACTAAATGATGAAAACAAAGAAAATGGTATAATGAAAACTGTGACTGATGACGTAGAAGAGATGGAAGTAGATAATCAAGCAAGAGGTATTGCAAGAGACAGGTAATACCAGCAACCTTTTAGTTGTGCTATTTAAAATTAATAATGGGATGGGTAGTTTGCTTTTCATTCTTTTGCTCCACTTTATCCAGTGAAGAATGAAATTTTTGAGGGGGGTGGTTTTTAACTAAAAGCATTTCTCTGCATTGTGGTATTTTTAGCAAGGCCAATTCTTCCAAGGATCTGGGGACATGGTTCCCCACTCCTGTGCTATTGTATCAAACAACATCCATAAACTATATTTTTGCTGGTTTGTTTTGTGTAAGACAACACTTTGTTTTCCTGCAGAAAATGGCAAGCTAGGCACTCTCCCTCAAAAGCATGGGTTTGTTTTGAAAACGCTCGAGGACAAAAATTTGGCACAGCCCTAGTAGTGATGCTGTAATCATGTTAAATATATTTGATGTTTGGCTTTCTCTGGAAATTGCTGAACAAATGACACCTTCTTGATTATTACCAATTATGATGTCAAGAGACAGCATTCCTATTTTCAGTTCCGTGAAGCAATAAAATAGCATAGGTGTTTCATTGTGAAATAATGGCTGCATTCTTTCATTACTAAAATTGTGTGTTTGATCTACGCAACTCAAATATATCAATGTATTTGGATTATAAGATTTCTAAACTAATTTTATTTTCAATTGCTGAATTTTTTCTTTTTGTTTTGGAGTTTACAAATCCGCAAAGCACCTATATTGTAGCCCTTATTTCTTTCTAATACAGTGGTACCTCAGTTTACAAACTTAATCTGTTCTGGAAGTCTGTTCTTAAACTGAGGCGCGCTTTCCCTTATGAGGCCTCCCACCACTCGTGCCCTTCCACCATTCAGCTTCCGTTTGTAAACCGAGGTAAAGTTCGCAAACCGGAAAACTACTTCCGGTTTTGCGGAGTTCGTAAACCAAATAGTTCGTAGACAGGACTGTTGTAAACCGAGGTACCACTGTATTCTGTTTCTTGAGATGACACCTGTGTGAGTTTTTCCATAACTGATTTAATTGACCTGACCTGAGAATTGTGCTCTTTCTTTGTTAGTTTAAAGTTATGTTTAACACCATTGATGGCATATTTGACTTGCACTGCTGAGGCCAGTTTCACATAAGATAAATTTTGTACACAGATACTCTGTGTCAGGTGAATCAAATGTGTAGGTCTTTTTTGCTTCATGTACTTAAGGGCTGTGATTAGTGCTTATTTTTGTGGCTAATAGTGTGAAAATGAGTGTGCTAATCACACATTACTGGGTATATGCTGGCTATACACAATTGCCATTCAGAAATGATTGTGTAAGAAATTGTGTGAAGTGGCCCTGTTAGGGATTTTTGTAACACACAGAGTATGTTGAGGTGATATCAGGTAATGTTCTTTTGAGATCTTACTTGGAGCAGAAAGCATAGCTCCTGGAAAACACTACTTCAAAAGTTTCAGTTTCATTTCTTTGGATGAGGCCTATATAGAAGTTACTAGTACATTGTGCACAGCATCCATGGAAATCGCTCTTAGTGATTAGATTAATATAAATATTTATATATGTATTAATGAAAGTTCCAAGAGAGACTTCATGGTTATTATTATTCTGCATATACACTGCTTAAACTTGATTTGTGTACTTGGTTACTTGTGGAACAAATGCTTATTTATTTTAATGAAGTCCACAGAATGCATGTTTGTACATTCTTGTTCTGCTTACACCACCAATATAAAAAGTATATGTAGTTTAAAACTGATGAATTTTAAACTTTAATTTAGATTGATTGTATTAAAACCTGAACCTAGAAGCACCGCTTCAACTAATACAAGCACTCCGCAGCCCGTGAATAATGTTGTCCATTACTTGGCATCAGCACTGCTTCAAATACAGCAAGGCATTGAACGTAAATTCCTCAAAGCTCCACTTGGTACGTACCTACTTCTAGAGCCCTGTGCTGGTTATGAACAAAAGAATAGTCCATGTCCAAAGAATGTGTCGACAAATTGCCAGTTACTGTACTGAACAAGTTTTAACAAATGCAAAATTGCTTTAAACTGTGTTGTGTTTTAAATTGCTGCAACTCACCCAGGACCTTATGGTGGTGAAGGGCAAGTAAACTCAAAATAAGAATGGTGATGAAAATGCTCTAGAATTGCCAATCTGGAGTCAGGTGACCTGGAACATATTTGAAATAAATCTGCCACAAAAGTGGGATGAATGGATTGTGTGGGTGTTTGGCCACACCTGAACACAAGATTCACTTCGTTGATTCACTGTGTTCATAATTGTTGGGGGAAATGTGATCCACTTGGCAAATGATGAATGATGGTAAGCAGAGGTGCCAGATTGCGAGGGCTAATGTCATGCATGTGATGCCACACGTGACATTGATGTCCCATGTACAATGTCAGGACGTCAGGAGGGACCGGAGGCGGAGCCAAACCGGCACCTTCAGGGCTTCAGTGATGGGGGCTCCTCCTTCACCGATGGGAGGCTGCTTCGACCCTCCTTCCCCTCTGCGGTGGCAGGAGAAGGAGCGGGATACTAGAGCTGCACTACGTGTGTCTCCGTGCTTTGCCTCTGCGCTTTTGGACATTGAGGGGGTGGGCCCTACCCCCAAAATACTCAGGGGGCCCAAAAGGGCTCGGCCCCCAGGAGCTGATACCCCTGATGGTAAGAAAGCATCTTGTGTAATGTGAGCATAGGCCTAGGGTATGCATGGTTACTTTTGGAATAGGAAGCACCTCTTCCTATCCCTTTGTACTGATCTGGGAATGTGCTAATAGATCATGTGAAGAGATGTGATTTAACACAGCTCTGGATATTGATGCAAATCCAAATATCAACATTAACTGCTTAGTTTTAGGGAAATAGGGTGAGCATGCTAGTGAAAGGTTCCCGCTTATTTCCAAACCAGGCTTGAAATAACTGTATGCGTTTAACACTAGGTGATGCAGAAGACAATAAAAGAGACCCAAAAGGGGATAAAAGGAGGAAAAGAGAAGATCAGCCTAGTCAGAAAGATGGTAAATGATTGACATTATTCCATATTTAATTTTTTAAAATTACATTTCATCTGCTGCAGGTGTCTTTAGTATATTAGTCCCATGATCAACTTTTGAGTATAGCAATGCGGCTTTGAAATAATGGGCAGTATCAAACTAAACCTTTCCATGAGAATGAGCACTTTTGGCTGCACAACAGAACTTTCCCTCTTCCCACAAGCCCCACCAAAGCTATTGTTTGCTTTCCTCCAAACATCCAGAGCAGTTTTAGAGGGCCGACAGGGAAAGGAGAGGGAGGGGAAGTTCCTTGCACAGCCAAATCTGCTTGTAATATTGGAAATGTTTATTGGATACCACCACATAGAATCACAGTTGTGAAAGTCTTTTTAGAAAGGAATAGTGAAGAGCTTAAGGATAAAATATTTCACTGAACTTTTACCTTTATTTTGGTGTCTTGACCCATAAAAGATTCCTAATGCTACAGCGATCTCTGTAGCCAAACTGAAATCCAACCATATATCTTGAGCTGGTTCAGTGCCTTCTGAAATCAAAGTTTTCCTCTGTGAAGGTAGTGATAACTAGAAAAAAGTCAGGACAGGGTTACACTGTCCCTTACTCAATATCTGCTTCACTATTGATACTGAGCAAGTTCTCTAGCGCACCTAAAACACTGCACTAAGGGAGAGGAATCTCCTTCTACTTGGGCAGCTGCATTTGCATGTTGCAATAAACTGTAGTTAATGGTTTACCGTGAAAGCAGACAGCTCCCATTTCACTTCTCCGTTAGCACAAGTAGAGTGACAAACCATGTTGCTTGACATAGTGCTACATATGAATTAAAGGATTGTGGTTGCTTCGCTTCAGACTATGATTGGGAAGCCCAAAGTTGTTCTCGGCTACCCAGTCATGGTTTGTTCGTATGAAACAAGCCAGGATCCCCATCTGAGATGCAGCGCTCAGTCAAGGATCATGTTTTGTTCCCTCCACTAGCACTAGGGCCGTGGTTCCCAATGTGGGGCACACACACCACAGGGGGGCAATTTGATATATTTTTTGGGGGGGGGACGCAATTCAAGAATGAGTTAACAGTGAATGGCCTTTTAGGCTTGCTCCATGTGAATAGGAGTTCACTTTTTGAATAATAAGAATTATGTCACGGGGGGTGGGAGGCATCAGGATTTTAAAGATGTTTAGGTGGGGCATGGCCAAAAAAAGGTTGGGAACCACTGCACTAGGGGAAGAACAATATCCGTGTTCACAACAAACCATAAGCTATATGTGCAAATGTGGCCACTCATGTCCCTTTTGTTTAAAACACTTTGAGCTCACTCTTCTGCCTTAATGTGAGGCACTCAAGGTGACTTGCAACAAAAATCATAAAAAATAGAATGCTCATGAAATTATATAAGATAAACTGAAGAAGTTAAAGAAACCGTGAAACAATAGAAAACCAGCAATAGGCATTCAAGTGTTTGACAAACCAAAAGCTTGTTAGAACAAAGAGAACTTTAGCTTGACACAAATGTAACAGGTGATGTCCAGAATCAGGACTTGGCCACAGAGAAGGCCTTGCTTGTATTCCAAATGAACGAAGCTTGCAGCAGGCCCTCTCCTCTTGATCTTGAGGGAATGGGCAAGTTGATACAGTTAGAGGTAGTCCTTCGTATAATCTGGTATCAAGTCATTTAGAACTTGTCTCCAGTGTAGCTTGTGTACCAGGACAACCTAGGCGCTATCAGTGCTGCAGTCTGCCCAGTGGCTCCTCATTTGCATACCCTGCCTCCAGCTATCAGCAGCAGTAGGTCTGTGCAATGCATGAGCACATGTGGGAGCAGAAGCTGGTTAGAGAGGGAGGCTGAAGCATTCAAAGTTGGAGGGGAGGCAAGCAAGAAAGATGGGGTAATGAATAGACAGTGTGGTTGGTGCCAGAGATGGAGGGGAAGGAAGGAGGGGGGGGGGCAAAAGGGATGGTTGTACCGAGAGAAAGAAGAAGCACCTGGTGGTTGCTGTACCTTCTGGCCTTCCCCTTCTTTCTTCCTCAACCCCCACCCCTAAGTCTTCCTACTTTGTGCCTGGTCTGCCACCAAGCCAGGAAGTCTGTCCTGACTGACTCCTAGGTGATAGCTATCTCTTCTACTCGGAAGAATGAGGCATTGAGCAGTGGTGCAGGAACTGGAGAACCAGTGTGCCTGGGTGGGTGGAGAAGGGGGAACTGAGTAAAGGTGGCTGGGAAATGGAAAAGTTGTCCGGGGGGGGGGGCACGCTGAGGGCAAAGAACTGGAGAGTTCACTGAAATAAATTAGAAAGAGAAAATATTAATATTTTAAAATAAGAATAAACTGGGAGTAGAGAGGAAGGGGATAAAAGAGGGAAGCTGTAATAGAGGAAGAAGTGGACATAAAAACGGACAGTTTGGGTTTGGGGAAGAGAGTGCAAGTTAACTGAAAGGAGGAGAGAAGGTCCCCTAATTTGAGTAAGTTTGTTTTCTCCTGCTCTGGAGGCTAGTACCTGAGCCAAAAGATTCAAGTTACAGGAAGGGAGATTCTGACTTACAGGAAGGGAGATTCAGGAAGAACTGTATGACAATAAGAGATGTTCCACAGTGGAACAGATTCCTTCAAGAGGTGGTGGACTGTTCTTCATTGGAGGTTTATAAGCAGAGGTTCGGTGGCCTTCTGTCATGGATGAGATTCCTGCATTGCAGGGGGTTGGACTAAATGACCCTCTGGGTCGAACTCTAAAATTCTCAGACTCTATGATTCTCTGCAAATTCTTGGAGCTTTTATTGCCTTATAAGCAGCTAAATCCTTATTTGTTGAGGGTAATGAAGCTTCAAAAAGGATTATCACCCAAGTGCCTATACATCATTTCCTGAATGGATGAATTGCTTATTGGGAAATGCGCAGTGTGTGTGTGTGCGTGCGCGTTTGTGTCTGTCTTTGGAAGAGTGAGGATATTCTCTTGTCTTTTATTATGATTGGAAGGCATCAGGCAAATTGTACCTTTAATAATCAGTTTTCATATTATTGGTCCTTACAATGAACACCCAGTTGTCTGTAAGCGATATGCCCTGTATATTTATAATTTGATTCCATTTTTATGATTTATTTATTTAATCATCATGTCTTCTAATAGCAAACTCATGTGGTGAGTGCCAGCAGGATTATAGCCAAAATGGGGTGATTGAGAAAAGGAGAAATATATCGCCATGTTTAGGGAAGTTTGCAAAAGTAAAAAGAAAATAAAAATTAAAAAAAAGCAGCAGAAAGAAAAATGGAAATGTGGACTTGGAACGAAATGCCCCGCTAGAGGAAGGCAAGGCTGACTGGATGAGTATCTGAACAGGAACCAATCCATTGGGTGACATACCGTATTTTCTCAAATCTAATGTTCACTTTTTTTGGCCAAATTATGTTGCAAAAATTAAGGTGCGCATTAGATTCGATGGCACATTTACATTCACCAACAAATACTTTTTTTTGGTTTCAAGGTTCTGAAATGGAGGTGCGCATTAGATTCAATGGCGCATTAGACTCGAGTAAATACGGTAATAAGACACCTCTCCCTATCAAGAGAGAATAAGTCAGGATAGAAAGGTGATCACAGCTGCCACAAACTGAGTTAACTTTTTATCCATCATGGCCCCAAGATGGCTTTCTTAGAAATTCCACAGCCAGTTCATATCCCAAATCAGTGTATATGTGAATTTAGGATTTTTTGGGCCCAGTATGCCTCACTTTTTTCTTGCTGAATCTCATTTTCCATTTTGTTGCCCATGTTTGGAATGAGATCCCTTTGGAGCTGTTCCCTGTTCCCCAGGTGAGCTACAATTCGGTAGTGTTTGCAAATTTGTCTGCCTTTTAACCCACCCCTAACTCCTTGTCATTTATGAACAAGTTTAATAGCACCACCCAACTCATGTTGTTGGAAGGTCCTATTCCTTTCTTCCCTCCATTGGGAGAACTGTCAAATCTATTCCTACTTCATTAAAGAGGAAGCAGAAACCTGCTTTTCATCTCTCCCCCTGCCCATAGGTTGCTTAGCCAGTTTCTGATTCATAAGAGGACCTGGCCTCTAATTCTAGGAATAAGTTGTTTTTGTATAATGAATACAATTATTGGGAGGTTTGCAGCGTAATTGTTCTTTATCACTCTTTCTTGTAAAGATGCCAGCGATGGTGGCCGTTCACATAAAACAGTCTTGGACCGTTGGAGAGAATCACTTCTGTCTTCTGCTAGCCTCTCTCAGATCTTCCTCCACCTCTCAACACTAGAGCGAAGTGTAATCTGGTCCAAATCGATCTTAAATGCTCGCTGCAAAATGTGCAGAAAGAAAGGAGATGCTGAATGCATGGTGCTGTGTGATGTCTGTGATCGAGGCTATCACATTTACTGCATAAGACCAAAGCTCAAGGTAATTCAACTTTTGTTTTCTTTTGTTTTAAAATTGTAACCATAAGTAGTAGCTGCATTTTACAAAGGCATGCTGCCTCTTTGTTAGGTTGTTCCTGATGGAGACTGGTTTTGCCCAGAATGTCGACCAAAGCAGCGTTCCAGACGCCTCTCATCCCGACAGAGACCTTCTGTGGAAAGTGATGAAGAGGCCGAAGAACAGGTTGAAGAGGAGGAAGATGAAACCAGTTATGAAGATACTGGACATAGTGAGGAAGAAGGTGATGAAGATGAAGAGGATGAGGACAACTCTGATTCTCAAGAAGAGGATGATGAAAGGTAAATCAGCCACCAAGCTGCCTCTATCCATGCAGAATTCTCACAGCCTTTAATATGATATGTCACATGATCGGCTTACTTAAAAATTTAAATTTAAGTTACAAAATTTTGATTTGTTAAAAGTGATTTTAAAAAATATGATTAAAAATTTCCAAAAAATGTATTATTTAATATTTCTAAGAGCTACCTGCAAATTTCATCTTGGGATCTCAATGGGATCACATTTTAAACAAATATTTTGTACATATATTTTAAGTAAGTCCATCATGTGACATACTGCATATTAAAGCCCATGAAGTTCTGAAGAGATTGGCGTTTTTGGCTTTGACGTATCTCAACCCTGGGCTGAGCTTTAAAGGTTTTGATCATTCAACAAGTGTACAAAATATTAAGAAAATTGGACAACATGAGGTAAGGAAGCTGGATCACTTGATATGAAATCACCCAGGGGTATAGTGTTTTGTTTAGAGTGTGTACTTGCAATTAAGATAGGATAACTATGGGTAGCTTCTTAGTTTTAAATTTGCAAAGAAGAATTTGTCATTTTATAATTGGTAACCTGACAGTTATAGAGACAGTGCAAATTTATCCATCTAAAACGGCTAATTGAGTGCTAAATTCACAACTTTGAAGAACAGAGAGGTGCAAAGATACTAGTTGTATCACAAAAATTGATACTTGTAACTTCTTACAGCTTATCCAAATCAAGAAAACCTCAAGTAAAACTCGCTTTAAGAACAAGAGCCGCAAAACTTGCAACCAGCATCTCAGGTCAATACAGCCAGCGTCAGAGTACTGGAAGATACAGTTCCCGGAGTCAGCAGAATACACCTAAGCAAACCGGATTTGCAAGTAAAGCTACTGGGAAGGGCATAAGAAAGACAAGGTCTGCTCCTTCATCAGTAGCAAAATCATCAAGACTTAGCAGCCGTACAACTCGCCAGAATCGAGATTTGCTACAAGCAGACACATTTATAGAGTTGACCAGTCCCCAGAGGCGACGCCGAGGAAGGAAGACAGCAGATAATACTCCAGAGAGTAGTCCTTCCAGTTCTCTCGGCTTCAGAATTGTTGATGCTACAGATTCAAAGGAAAAGAAAAGTTCTCCCATTCCTATTGTAAAAAATTCTCCTCAAGACACAGAGCCCAAAAAGAGGGGTAGGAAACGACAGTCTACAGGTATGTTGAATCCTTAAAATAATATTGGCTGTAGAATGAATTCAGAAGTTTCCATCATAGTATATATCGGAGCTCTCCAAACTTTTCATGTTGGTGACATACTTTTCAGTGGGGTTTTGCCATATTTCAAGAGGTAAAAATCTGGACACAAAAGGTTGTTGAGCTTTTTTAGGGCACTTCTGCCGCCACCGAGCCCGAGCCACCAACGCCCACCACAGCCATCGCATTAACCAGTGTCCCAAAATCCAGGACATTTGGTTTAAAATGCAAAATTCCTCCCGGATGGGCATGTAAGGCCCCCAGAAGAAGAGATGTCTGGGAATTCCAGGACGTATGGCAACCCTACTTTTTAGACATGCATCATTTCGCGACATAGTAATTCAGTTTTACTAGCAAACTGGAGCTTAAACTAACCCCTTTCCAGCCCTGGGAGGAGCACGGGGAGCATTCGTGTGACATACCTACACACTGCAGTCGATACGCTAACGTCTCACAACATACAGTTTGGAAATCTCTGGTATATGTAAAAGTAATGTGAATTGACCTTAAAGCATGGCAAAACGGATGTAGAACTAGGGAGGTTTGTTACTGTATCCTGTGGCTTTTCATACTCTTACTGCTAGAAATACATGGCATAGCACTATGGATCAGAGTCTTGCATTTTTTCTTTGTCAAGAGAATCAATTCTTTTCCATTTTCTCATTGGTTGCCTCCCTCCAATCTCATTCTTAAGGCTTTTCTAGGTAGGGAGGCCACCTAGCTAGAGAACAGAGAAGATTCAGAACATTTAAATGGCGCACGGCAATATACTAGAAAGCTTTTCTAGTCTGGTCAAGTAAAGGTTATAGGGTAGAAGGCTTGGAGTAATCGGTCGAATTGTTTCATCTTGGGATGGGCTTAGAGAGTTTGCAACTTGGGGCAGGCCAGCAAAAGAGATTAAGGATGCTCCTCTCTGACTGAACTTGATGTCGCCTTTGCCCCAAGTTGTATCAAGGATGGGCAAAAGTTTGGGGGAGTGTAATGCACCCTTGTTTGAATGTGAAATTGCTGATCTAACAAAAGGAAGAAACATCTTTCAGATCAGCCTCCATACCTGAGGAAAACTCAGTGCAAAAAGAGCTTTTAAGCTCTCTGCCTTGCTTGCATTTACCTTGCAGAATTTCAACCAGCTGGTCTTCAATTGTATATGATTGAAACTGTGCAAGTTTGAAGTGCGTAAGATGCCATCATACTATACACCGGTTTGTTTACTAATCATTTTTCTTCATTCTGAAAAGGAAGCCAGCTCCTTTAGGTCGAGTCATTACTCAATACCAGTACCAATACTTACTACAAATTGTGTAGTTCTGTAAACAGTTGTATCTGAATGATTGTCTTTTGAGGGGGCTGTTTCCTTCAGAGGACACCAGGGGTTGGTGGGCAGGGAAACCCATTCTAGCTTTCCTTATCCTTGACTGTAGCACTTTGAATAAGGATGAACTTAGATCATATTGTTTCTGTAGCACTTTAGCTTTTCTTACCATGTTCCTGTTCCCTCAGCATAATGTATTTCTTAAATAATTTGTTTTTCCTCAGAGCCGTCTCCAATGCCTTTGAATAGGAGAAGTTCAGGACGTCAGGGTGGAGTTCATGAACTGTCTGCGTTTGAGCAGCTTGTTGTGGAATTGGTGCGTCACGATGACAGCTGGCCTTTTATGAAACTAGTGTCCAAAATCCAGGTAAATAGATTGGGTCCATTTTAGTAAAAAGTGACATTTACTGACAAACCAGGAATAGTCAAAAAGAGGAAGAATAGAAAAATACTTCTGAAATTCAATCTCTACATTTGAGTCATATCTAGAACTAAAATACCCAAGTTACTGTAATAACTTGGGTATGCCTCACCTATTTTGAAGATGTAAAATTGGTGGAATATATGGGCTAATGTTTTTCTGGAACTCTCTAGCTTTCTCCATAATCCAACGCATGTTTGCAATTTGGTCTCTGGTTCCTCTGCCTCTTCTAAATCCAGCTTGCACTTCTGGGAGTTCTCGGTCCACATACTGCTTGAGCCTACCTTTTATGCATAACCTTGCTAGCGTGTGAAATGAGTGCAGTTGTGCGGTAGTTGGAACATTCTTTGGCACTGCCCTTCTTTGAGATTGGGATGTAGACTGATCTTCTCCAATCCTCTGGCCACTGCTGAGTTTTCCAAACTTGCTGGCATATTGAGTGTAGCACCTTAAGAGCATCATCTTTTAAAATTTTAAATAGTTCAGCTGGAATACCATCACTTCCACTGGCCTTGTTATTTGCAGTGCTTTCTAAGGCCTATTTGACTTCACTCTCCAGGATGTCTGGCTCAGGGTCAGCAACGACTAAACAACAACAACAAAATGGGCTAATGTAAGGGACGTGGGTGGCGCCGTGGGTTAAACCACAGAGCCTAGGGCTTGTCGATCAGAAGGTTGGCGGTTTGAATCCCCACGATGGGGTGAGCTCCCGTTGCTTGCTCCCTGCTCCTGCCAACATAGCAGTTTGAAAGCACATCAAAGTACAAGTAGATAAATAGGTACCGCTCTGGCGGCAAGGTAAACGGTGTTTCTGTGCGCTGCGCTAGTTCGCCAGAAGCGGCTTAGTCATGCTGGCCACATGACCGGGAGCTGTACGCCGGCTCCCTCAGCCAATAAAGCGAGATGAGCGTCGCAACCCCAGAGTCGTCCACGACTGGACCTAATGGTCAGGGGTCCCTTTACCTTTACGGGCTAATGTAGTGCTAATGCCAGAGGGATTGACTTTTCTCCAATCCTTATTTAAATGCTATGACAACAGAAGTGTAAGAGACAGTTCAGCAAAGTCAGTGTTGGGTCATGAAATTCAGAAAGGCTTCTGTTGTTGGCTGTGTGAAGAGGGAGCTTGTTAACTCCAGGTTCAGCATTTTCTGTTTTATTCATAGCTCAGTGATTATCGGGAGGTAGCTGAACACACACCATGGATGGGTAATGTCACCACCTTGCAACTGAAGACAGGAAATGCAAACTGATGTTTTGCATTTTAACTTGGTCCAGTGAATGACGAACTGCAGGAACAGATTTAATAGATCCAGAAAGGGAAACATTATTAGGAAAAATACTCAAAAGAGTTTAAATTGACTTGTATTGTAAAACAATGTAATGGCCACAAGATGGCAATGTTACCCAGCCATGTTGCCTGTTAATCACCTAGAAACACCCTTCAGGTGAGAACCAGCTGTTCCACTTTTTGAACATTGAACAATGAAAAGTGCATACAAATTCAGTACATGATTCTGTACTGCACAGTTTTGAAACCAGGCTGATCTATTGACCTGTTCTTAAGAGACGATGGATTGGAAATATGTAAAATACATACCTTGTAACTGCTGCATTGTTGTTGTTTAGTCGTGTCCAACTCTTTGTGACCCCATGGACCAGAGCGCGCCATGCACTCCTGTCTTCCACTGCCTCCCACAGTTTGGTCAAACTCACACATTCCTGATATTCAGAAAAAGGCAGGACTGCCTGTTTGGGTGGGCAGATTAAAAAGATTTAACTTCTGAATGAGGTCTCTTGATTTATTGCCTAAAAATCATGAAAAATATTTTGGTTCTATGTACTTTTTTGCTCTTTCTCTCTGCATTTTTTAAAAATGTACTTCTTTACCCAAATGCAGGTACCAGACTACTATGATATTATCAAAAAACCTATTGCCTTAAACATAATCCGTGAAAAAGTCAACAAATGTGAATACAAACTAGCTTGTAAGTAAAGTTTTCTAAAATAATTCTATTTCTGTTGCTTTAAACACAGTTTAATTTACAAGGCATCTGAATGACTTTAGTTTTATGTTATTCTGAAACAGTGGAGCATCAGGAGTTATGCTCCCAGCAGTGGGCGTTCAGCATATTGAACAATACACACTTGAACATTATTTACCTCTAGCTGAAATGTGAGAATACTCTCTTGTGAGCCAAAGTAATCCACCGTAAGGGTGGTGGTGTCTTTGTCTAGGAAACATTGATTTTGGGATTATCTATAATTTTTATAACATTATGGACTAAATGTGTATTTGTTTTTTCTTCCTTACAGCAGAATTCATTGAAGACATTGAACTGATGTTTTCAAACTGCTTTGAGTATAACCCACGCAATACAAGTGAAGCAAAGGCTGGAACAAGACTTCAGGATTTTTTCCGTGTTCAGGCTCACAAGCTTGGACTTCCTCTTACTTCTGGTTACATGGACCGTGCTGCTCCAGCAGCCAAAAAATCCCGAATCTAACGTCTTCCTTTTAAAGGACTTCTATTAGAGGAATCCTCTTATATTTTCATGGAAATGAAATATTTAAATCATGCAGCCATAGAAAGCAATAACATCTGTCACACCTTGGAAGTGTGACCTGCACTATGTTCTCAATTATTAAGCACTCAGGAGAATGTAGGAAAGATTACCTTTGCTACAGTTTTGTTCAGTGACTAATAACTTTGATCGATGTGTTTTGAATACAGTACTGGTTTACAGTAGCTTTTGTACTTTTAATGACCATTTTGTGTCAAAATACCTTCCAGAAATATTTTTCTTCAGCACCAGATAATATTGTTATATTGTTTAGATCTTGTAGGAGCTGTGGCATTGTCTTGTGAGGGTTCTACCTAGGCTAAAACAGTCATCTGCAACGCAGTGGACATCTGAAGTCACTTGAGCACAAAGTTTTGACACTACAAGTGAATGAGTACACCTTTTTATCATTTAAATTAGTGTGCTGGTGCTGGTTGGAGAAATTCAGTCTGACTTTATTAAGTAGATATTTATTTAGCATTCAAATAATTTGTGGATTTGTTTTTGTATTTATAAAAAAATTTACTTGGAGGATAAAGAATTCATTAATTTCCTGTTTACTCTGTGTTTAGTTGTTTAAACCTCTCATGATCAGTTAATTGTCCTCTACCTGGCAGTTCTTACAGCAAAACTGAAAGTTTATTTGTACAACTTCTGAGTGTAAAAAATAAAGTGAAACATTTTTCAAAGTACTACTTATCTGTATACTAGTGGCTGCCCAGTTCTTGGGTGAAGCAATAATAGATAACAGGACTTGCCACTTGTTGATTCTATCAGCAGCATTTCTTAATTGATGTGTGATCCTTTAATGTTTGCAGATCTGTCATGATGAATTATTCCAATACCCGTGTCCATACTACTCCTGCAGATGTCTTGAAAACTACTTATTTAATTTTTTCTAAAACATTTTGTCAATAAAGTAAAACAAAAAAACTTTTGCCTCAATATTAATCTTGGGTGACTTGGAAATTTGCCTCTGTACAAAAGACCAGAAACATAAGGTTTCTAGTAACAGTCAATTCTCATACTTTGTTATCAGAATACAGTAGCCCAAATGCGAGTTACTCAATTCAGTCAATCAATCATTTTATTTGTATGCTGCCTTTCCAAAGTTAAAACAATGTTCAAAGCAGCTTACAACATGTTAAAATTACATAATTACAAACATAACATAACAAGTCTGTGGTTTTCTAGAAGTTGCTGGCCTACAATTTCCATCATCCCAAACCATTGGCCTTGATGACTTGAAACTAATTGGAGTTGGAGCTTGACACTGATATCAGGGAATGTCCTAGAAGAGATAATTCAACAAAGATCAGCATGGGTTTCTCAAAAAGGTCATGCCAGACCAATCCGATTTCTTTTTTTGATGGAATTACAAACTTGGTGGATCAGGGAAAAGTGGTAGACACAGTGTATCTTGATTTCAGTAAGGCTTTTGACAAAGTCTCCCCTCATATTCTCCTGAGGAAGCCTGTAAAATGTGGGTTGAATGAGATAACTGTTAGGTGGATTTGTAGCTGGTTAACTTACCAAACTTGAGTACTCATTAATGGTTCCATGTCATCCTGGAAAAAAGTGACAGGTTGGGTGCCACAGGGTTATGTCTTTATAAACGACTTGGATGAAGGAATTGAGGGGATGCTCATCAAATTTGCAGATGACACTAAAATAGGAGGAGTAGCTAATGCCGCGCAAGACAGAATCAGAATTTAAAATGACCTTAACAGATTGGAGAACCGGGCACAAGCTAACAAAATGAATTTCAATAGAGACAAATGTAAGGCACTTAGGCAGGAAGAACCAGGTACACAAATATAGGATGGGGGACACCTAGCTTCAGTGCTTTTTTTCTGGGGAGATGCAGGGCTACGCATACCCCTAAACATTTTGTGAATCTGTAAAAGGTAAAGGTACCCCTGCCCGTACGGGCCAGTCTTGACAGACTCTAGGGTTGTGCGCCCATCTCAAGTGAGGGGGCCAGCGCTGTCCGGAGACACTTCCGGGTCACGTGGCCAGCGTGACATCGCTGCTCTGGTGAACCAGAGCCGCACACGGAACGCCGTTTACCTTCCCGCCAGTAAGCGGTCCCTATTTGTCTACTTGCACCCGGGGGTGCTTTCGAACTGCTAGGTTGGCAGGCGCTAGGACCGAGCAACGGGAGCGCACCCCGCCGCGGGGATTCGAACCACCGACCTTTCGATCGGCAAGCCCTAGACGCTGAGGCTTTTACCCACAGCGCCACCCGCGTCCCCTTTGTGAATCTGTACTTTTGTCCATTTACTGTATTTTTCCCAATTTGAACTATAAAATTGTGATTTTCTTGAGTCAAAATGAGAGTACCCCTAAACATTTTTTTTAAGATAAAAGAACACTGCCTGGCTTACTAGCAGTACATGTGAAAATGATTTAGGGGTCTTGGTGGACCACAAGCTTAACATGAGTCAACAGTGTGATGCAGCAGCAAAAAAAGCTAATGCTATTTTAGGCTGCATCAATAGAAGTACAGTGTCCAGATCAAGGGAAGTAATAGTACCACTCTATTCTGCCTTAGGACCACACTTGGAATACTGTGTCCAATTCTGGGCAGCACAATTTAAGAAGAATGTTGACAAGCTGGAACGTGTGCAGAAGAGGGCAACCAAGATGATCAAGGGTCTGGAAACTAAGCCTTATGAGGAGTGCTTGAAGGAGCGGGGTATGTTTAGCCTGGAAAAGAGGAAACAGAGTAGATATGATAGCTTTCTTGAAATAACTTGAGTGCTAGCACATGGAAGAGGGAGCATGCTTGTTTTCTGCTCTGGAGGGTAGGACTCGTTGCAATGGCTTCAAGGAGATTTCGACTAAACATTCGAGAAGACAGTAGGAGCTGTTTGTCAGTGGAACAGACTTCCACAAGAGGGAGCTTTTAAGCAGAGGTTGGATGGCCATGTGTCTTGGATGCTTTAGCTGAGATTCCTGTGTTGCAGGGGGTTGAACTACATGACCCTTGGGGTCCCTTCCAACTCTTAAGATTCTGAGTCCAACAACATCTGGAGGGCCAGAGGTTATCTATCACTGTTTGGAAGGTATCTAATCTGCAGACAGATGGATTGCTGAGCAGGATAAGTACTCCTGAAAACTGGCTGAAGTCTTGGGCATGAGCAACAATGTGCTTGTAAGTATGTTCGTTTCATTTACCTATTAATGTGAGGTATGCTGCAAAAATTTAAATGGACCACAAGAGAATCTCACCTGTCTGTAAAGCACCCATGGGCATTGCATTTTTGTACAGGTCAAGCATAGGCATAACTTTATACTTTTATAAAGCCATTATAAACGATAGATCCCGCTTGCTGTCTTGGCTTCTTTGATCTTTGGGGCTGGGGACCCAGGCTTCCCTGGCAGCCCCGAGAAGCAGTCTGTCCACTGCTCTGGGGGGGGGGAATCATTTTTTTTCTTGATTTCCCCCTCTAAAAACTAGGTGCGCCTTATGGAGCGAAAAATACGGTATGCTACAACTTGTTGTGCGCCTACCTTCATTCTGGTACTTTGCCTTAGCCGTTGATGTTTTTTTCTGTTAGTCCCTTTAGTCAAGAGAGCGATCTAAGCTAAAAATGAAAGGCATGCCTCTGTTATTTGGTGCTCCATCTGATGCAGGTGCCTTCACTCCTTCAGCAACTCTGTTGCCCCTTCTCTTTAAGTCACAAGGTGGCCCAAAACCAAGTGCTGGCTGTTCACAGAAGCACTCAGAAGAGCCGGTGCAGTACAGTGTGGTACAGTGGTTACAGTATCGAACTAAGATGGGAAGCAGGCATAGGTGTAGCCAAGGGGGGCAACTGTCCCCCTAAATCAATACTTACCTGAGGTTCTGCCCCCGCAACATAAAGCCTGCCCTCCCCAACATAAATCCGGGCTACGCCCATGGGAGCAGGGTTCAAATCCTCACTCGGCCATGAAGCTTACTGGGTGACCTTGAGCGGGCCACTGCCTCTCAGCCCAACCAACCTCACAGGGTTGCAGTGGGGATTAATTCAGGAGGGGGGGAAGAACCAGTTACGTCACCTTGAGCTCCCAGCAGAAAACGGCGGGATATCATTGCAATGAAGTAGAAAGAATAGTCGACAGTTGCCTGTCTGCGAAGAGCTGCCGCCTGCGCTTGCTCCCCGGCCCCCTCGCTCCGTCGAGAGCGCGGAGAGGGAAGCAGCTGGTCCTCCTTCCTCACGGCTCCCTCAGCGGCCCGTTGAGCGAGGAGGCCAGGCTGGAGGCAGCTGCAAGAGCGCCCGCTGCTTCCAGGCAGTGCCCCGGTGGGCCGCTCCCTCCCGGGGAGCGCCGGCGGCTGCAGCAGCAGCTTCGCGGCCACCTCCGCGGCTCCCCCTCAGTCTGCGGCTTGGCTTGGCCGCGCAGCGGAGGAGGGAGAAACAGCCGAAACGAAGCAGCACCGAGAGGGAGGCGAGCGAGCAGCTGAGGCGGCTGGAAAGCGCCGTCGCCGCGCGGCCGCCCTCAGCTCGCCTCCTCTCCGTGGGCTGCGGAGGGGATGTGGGCGAGACTGCGGCAGGTGGCGGCGGCGCTCGCCTTCGGGTCAGCATGGAAGCGGGCTAGGGAGTTGTAGGGCGACCCAGTGGGGCGGGGCGCAACCCTAGGAGTCGCCCTGTGGCAGAACAAAGCCGGAGGATGGCGCGGGGAGGAGTGCCTAATTCTCCTCAGGAAATCCCCCTCCGGCCTTCCTTCCCGTTAGGGAAGTTTCCTCGTCGAAAGAGGAGTGGGGGCGTCGTTCACGAGGAGGAGGGAGGTGGGCGGCCCTCCGTCCCCTCCCCATTTTGTGCTCTGCAGGGCTGGGCCGGGCCTGCAGCACGTGGTGACAGAAGGCGGCGCCCATGTGACCGGCCTTTCCTCCCCCCGCTTTCCCCTCCAGCCCCCCGCCTGTCTCCTCGCCTCAGCCCAGCCTGCGCTTTCCGAGCTGTGCTGCGAGCAGCGTCAACCAGACCCCTCCGCTCCATAGGCAGCAAGCAGTAGGAGCGGCCTCCGCCATCACCGCCGCCGCCGCAACAGGGACCCGGCACCATGGTAAGGGCGGGGCAGCCTGACTCGCCTCAGCGTGGCCCGGCCGGCTTGTGCCAGGCAGGGTGTGGGACTAGGCCCCCCGCGAGGGTGAGAGGGGCTCAGCGGGGCCCGCGGCCTCTGGCGGCCATTTTAGTCTAATTTTAGCCCGGGGAAGGGGGACCGACCCTCTCTCTCTCCCCCCCCCCGCTCCACCGCCGCCCCAACTCGTGGCCGGCGGGCGGCCCGCTTCCCGGGGAGAAGCGCCCGCAAGTTCTTCGCCTTGTGAGTGACGGAGGGGTTTACCACGCATACGAGTCTCGCACGCTTGGACGGCTGCTTTTTCCTCGCTGTGCTTTATTCTTTTCACAAGTCTGCAAGCCCACGCACAGCTCCACGGGCGAGGAAGCAAAATAAGGGGCGTCTGCGCATCTGGTTCCTTCCTAGGTGTAGCGGGGGGCAGCGGCTCTTTGTAAGATGGCAGGGTATACATATGTCCCTCTTCTCGGGTTGTTGCTTTGAAGAGTGAGAACCAAGTAACGGGACAACTTAGCTTCACACATCCTTTCGTTCCCTTCCGTGGAGCCATAGGGACAAGTGTGTCGTGGGCGCGTCTAATGGGGCTTGGCTCCCCCTTTCTCTGGAAAGGGCTCTTTTTTCTGTGTTATGGTAAGCCCCGTCTATTTCATCGTTGGGGAATGATACGTGTTATGCCCCGCTTGTCATTTGGGAGAAGCTAGAGGTAGCAAATCTCTTGTATCTCTATTTATGGAAGGGTAAACGTATGCGGGAGCCCAGACCACGGAGAAAGCTTTGGTTCCTTTTGCTTGGCTCTGAAACGGGAGTGAAAGAGCAGGTTTTGCCGCCTCCTTCATTCTCTGCCTCTTTGTGGGGGCTGATCGTTTCCAAGAGTATACATATGACACAGCGAGGATGGTCTCCTTTTCATTTTGGGCTTAAGTGCCTTAGAGTGGAATTCCCCCTTTCTCGTAGTGCGTTGTAAGAATATAGGCTTTCTGCTTCTCTTAGTTGGGATTGTGATGCCAGTGGGGGTGGGTGGAATGACGCATAGTTGGGTTTGCCCCTCTCCATTGTGTCTGAATGTGTCAAGGGGGGTGGGGAAGGAAGCACCAAGCCGAGAGATGGCTGCTTCCTTTGTTGGAGTGCTTTAATCATAATTTGTGGGCAGGGTGCTCTTAACTGGGAAAGCTGGAAGGTGAGTGGCATTTACCATTCATTGTGTTTGGATGGTGTCTGGTTTATGGCAGAAATTCAGTGTTTGTTTGTGTAACACATGGGGGCATCTATCTCTCCTTGTGCTCTTGTTGCAGTGTACCATTAGGAGCTCTGCCCTAGAACTACATTGCTGAGAATCCAGCAGAAGGGCAGGAATGTTCTGGCTGTATTTGGGCAATAGTCATTACATTGGCACTAGATGGCTCAAAAACTGACTGGGGCGGGGGGGGGTGAGAAAAGAAAAAATGGTAAAGGAGCTGTATTGTCTCATCTTTCCATAGAAGTGAACAATATGGTATAAAACATGCTGGTCCATTATCAGTTTTAATTTTTCTTTCTTTTCTCTCTAAATTTTTGAGATATCCAACTAAAGTAAATGGAGTGTTTTGGACAAGAAATAGTGTTTGAGAACTAGTTGTAAGAAACACTTTTTTTAAGATGAAGATTCCTACTTTGTGTTTTAAATAACAAGTCAGAAATTATTAAATATTTTCTACCTTCATCTGTCACTGTTCTGCTATATATTTGCAGTTTCTCCTAAACTAATGTGCTGTAAAAAGCTTTAAAATCTTTGCTCTTTTAAGGGGGTTGTTTATCTGAAAACAAGTATAGTTAGTTATTTTTAAGTGTTTAAAAGAAAAACCTTTTGGTTCCTTTCCCATGTTACAGCAGTGTCATGGGAGCTGCTATTCTCTGGGTTTACCCCATGATAACATTTAAATGCCCTCAAATATAGGCGGGAACAGTTGCCTAGGCCTTTAAAACAGAATTAGCACTCATTAACTGCAGGCCTATTAACCTACAGCAACACTATAGGATGAAAAGCAGAAACTAAAAAAAAAGGAAAAAAGCTTATGGGTTTCCAGTGTACCCTTACAGAACACCTCTGTCCAGTCAGAATGAGAGAGTCACATTTTTGTAGGCTCAGCTTCTATAAGCCTCAATACTCTTGGGAGGAATTGTACATTCTGTCCTTGATTCTTTCATCATGTAGTAACTTCACTAGAATATTTATAGGGTATTAAATAAAATCTAGGCATTTTAAATACATAATATTAAACCTGACACGATACAAAAGGCATTTCTTCTCTTAGAGGCTTACGTCACTGAACAAAACTAGAATAATGACAGAGCTTGATATGAACTACTGCAAATGCATTTGATTATTTCTGTGCAAAATCCCATGTAGTGTTTACTTAAGCATGTTTACTCATTAGTAAGCCCCAATGAATTCAGTGAGAGTTACTCTTGGCTAAATGTGCTCTTAAATGAGTCGAAATTGCTATCTTAACCTAAAACTAGATAATTGAGTTTTGTTGTTGTGTTGTATTAAGGTAATGATGGCTGGCTTTGGACCAAATTGTATGTTTCTAATAGATGATGTTTATTATAGTGGATGCTGTTTTGCTTTGTTTTGTAGGCTTCTGGAGTAACAGTGAATGATGAAGTTATCAAGGTTTTCAATGACATGAAAGTACGAAAATCTTCAACACCAGAAGAGATTAAAAAACGAAAGAAAGCAGTTCTCTTCTGTTTAAGTGATGACAAAAGACAAATAATTGTAGAAGAAGCAAAGCAGATACTAGTTGGTGACATAGGTGATACAGTGGAGGACCCTTATACATCTTTTGTGAAGCTGTTACCTCTGAATGATTGTCGATATGCTTTGTATGATGCAACATATGAAACAAAGGAATCTAAAAAAGAAGACCTGGTATTTCTATTCTGGTGTGTAAATCAAAGGATTATTATTTAAATAGAATTTTGTTTCCAAAATTCAATGGGTTAAATAACAAGTATTTACTCCCCGTCTGTAGGGCTCCAGAGAGTGCGCCTTTAAAAAGCAAGATGATCTACGCAAGCTCAAAAGATGCCATTAAAAAGAAATTCACAGGTATGCGCAGAAAATATTCCACATGGCAACTTTGTATTTAGCTACTTCCTCAGAGTGAGTACCAATTCCTTTTGGATAACTACCATGTTTAAGCTGCTATTGAAGTAGGCAGGTATTTGATACTTGAGCAGTAAGGCACTTGTTGCTATGAAAATACTGAACAGATATATCTCTGTTTATTTGTCTTTTTCAGGTATTAAACACGAGTGGCAAGTAAATGGGTTGGATGATATTAAAGATCGATCAACACTGGGAGAGAAACTAGGAGGCAATGTGGTAGTTTCACTTGAAGGAAAACCCTTATAAAAGGACAGACAAGTGCCATCTGGAGCTTCCATTTTTGCAGCTCATTCAATTGGAATAGCATTAGTTCCTTTTGCCCCACCTTCCCAGATCCCAAATACCTGAAGGAGACGTCATTATACAGTCTATAAGTGGTCACCATTAGACTGTTTTTAAACCTGATAGTTTATGTAGAATCCAAGGAATGCCTCACATCATATTCTTAGCCAAAACTGATGTGGGCATTCCTTGCAAATATGTACAGTGAATGTGATAGTTGATGTGGATAGTCTAGCCAAGCAACAAAAGGTTTAAGCTAATTGATTGCCTTTAAAGTATTGTCCAACGGTCAAATGGTAGACTCTATTCAGTATTACTTTACAGTTGCACTTGATCGCAGTTCCATGAGGCTCTTGTGCATTCATACACCTCACCTGCCTTGACAAGCCTTTTTTGTGACATGGCAGCACTCAACACTATGCATTTAAATTAAAGCACTTTTTGTAATATGTTTTATTTCCCCTTTCCCAAGGAATGCCAATTAAGTTTCTGTAATTGTCATCAAACTGTTGTAGTACCCCAGTTTTCATTCCTGTTACATGCATATCTTTATAACTGAAGTAGCTGTTAACGATGCCTTTTTGTTTTTCTGTTGAATGTACACTACTGAACAGGAGTAGGAACTATCTGTTTACCATGCAAGTCTTGCAACACTAATGATGTTTTGTAAAACATCAATCATAATGGCAATTTCTGTATAAAAAGAGCCTTAAATGGAACATTGTTTTTGAGATCAAATATATTAGCCACGTTGCAATAAAACTTGTGGCTTATTACAGAATGTTGCCTTGTTTTCATTGGGAACTACAGAATGAAGTGTATTTTAACATTTTGCAGAGTTTTGTTTCAGCGGTACCTCTCCTAGATACTGAACAGTTGCTCTCAACTTCAGTAATGAATCTTTTTATATTTATTCATGATCCCACTGTAGGAATAATTTGAATAAGGGACTTTCCTCTGCAATCTTTAATAAATTGCCATCATTTGGGGAACAACTGGGGCATCAGTCTACAACTAGCTTATATCTGAAACTTAAAAGGGAAACAATGAGGCATGTAATGCACTATTACAGAATATCCTTCACAGTTTTACATGTTAAGTATTGCAAGTACCATCTTTTGTTCAGTCACAAGGCAACTCTTGCCAGTTAATTTTTGTGCTAATAGGACTGGAAAGCTTTTGCAGCTACTAAGTCTTGCATCAGGAACATGATTTGGCTAAGAGCCAAACACTGCTCTCCTTATAGAGAATTTGATCTGCTCTGTGCGAGCAGTCCTCCGTTGGCCAGAGCTATTTATGGCAAACACATGCTTTTGTATCTTGTCATCAGTTCTCCACAAATGGCAAAACTGGACATGATTCTACTGGTATGCATAAAGGAACTCTGTTAGGGAGCCAATTGCTGTTGCAGCGTACATACCACTAGGAGGAATGCTTTCATCAAAGGATAGAAATTGAAAATGGTTAGCAGTTTCTTAAAAGAAGGTAGCAGAGAATAGAAATAAGTTTAAACTGATGTAAACTTTTTTTTTTTACTTAAGTCTGGAGGAGAAATAGACAATAGTGAATAGGTTTATAAAACAATGTAATTTGTCAGTGGCTCTGTAGAATGTTACTATTTCAAGCTTTCAGCTGTTTCTGACTTATTGGAAGTGAAATGCATCTCTTTTAGTACTGAATTCTATTGTAGAATTCTGACTGGCATGCTGAGTTGCTAGATGTTAACTTTCTATGCAAAAAAGGAAAGCTAGAATTCTTTTTTACAGATTAAAACATTTGATTGGAAAGTGTCTTCATTATCCCACATCTCTTAAATATTATGCCCCGTAAAAACCTGGCTGGTATAAAAACTGCTCCATTTTGTTACCTAGAATGCACTGTTTCCCTTCTAGAATTGAGAAAACCCAAATGCTTGGAAATGAATGTTAAACTTAAAAAAAAATAATTATGTGTACCTGAGCAATGCTCATCTGTGTAAAGCACTATTTTTCAGTTCATGTAATCCTCTGCTAGTAATGTCATTTGGTGCTTGCAAATTGTGTTGAACAGATGTCTGAGGCTTTAGAACTGAATATTGAAGAGGAGAGTACGTTTACTTTAAAATTGAGCCCAGTTTTGTATTCATTCACAAGTCTACATGGATTTATGTAAAATGAAAGCTTATTTATATTGACAAAGGAAATTCTGCATAACAACTTTGGTCCAAAAAGCATGTTTACAGCTGAGAGTACTGACTGAGATCTGATCAAATCCAGTAAACTATAACTTGCTTTTGGAAATGCTGCTACAAACCTCTTACTGCTCGGACAATAAAACAAATGAGAGACAGCTGGCATGTGTTCCAAATGGGCTGTCAGCTGTTGTTTTCTGTCATGCAAAATGACGAAGGCCTCATTGTGACTTAAAAAGGTTGAAGGAAAGCTTCAAAACAGCATCTTGCATGTCTCTCCCATCATAGATGGGACGTTGGGTGTTGGCTTCAGTTACTTTATTGACAAAGAAATGTTAAAATAAAAGTTTTCATGACAGTGCTAAAAATCTCTGTAGATACTGCATTTTTGTTTTGAAAGTCCTTTTTGATCTTTGAAAATTGAGCAAATTGAGCTTAAATTATTAAAACATGAACATGCTTTGTATGGGCTGATTCTGAAAGGAGAAAACAAAACTAGGGACAATATAGTATAGAAACTAAGAGCGACTTTAGTAATAACCTTGAATAGCTACTAAGTTGACGTCAGATGCTATTTGTTTATCTGACAAACCTGTCCTAATTTAATCTCTGACAGTCTTCCTTAGGTGAAGGATTTCCATGTTTAGTTACTAAAGCAAAGTTTTGAATAATCTGATAACCTGATCAAAGTAATAAACTGCTCAATTTCCAGTTTATAGTGGATTTAAGTTTTTATAGAGACATATTAAAGGATGAATCCCTGTTTTGGCCAGCTAATCAAATCTCAGATACCTGAAATGTTTAGTTTCAATAGTATTTTGTGATTATGTACAATGTAGCTATTCTACATACGTGTTAAGAACGGGATAAGTCTAGCTTGATTGTAGGGTAAATAGTTAATACACTTTGTAACCTTGAATTTTTTATAAATCAGATGTGTAAGATAGTGAAAGGAGTATAAATTACTGCTGTGATATATTGAATTGTGGACCTGACAGATTTAATAGCCCCAAGCTTAGTGAAATGTCAATATTCATTCTTATTACATGGTGCCTTGTAATGGAACATAAACAAAAATACAAATCACTAACCCAAGGTGGTTAGAGTTTCATTTTGATGGTGGAGGATTTATAGAGAAGGGAGGGAAGCAAGAAAATGAAAAAGGTAAGTATAAGGAATGCCTGTGAGGAGAGCTGGCCCACACATATGACAAGGTGAGACAAGCGTCTCAGGTGGCAGGATCCACAGGGGCAGCAGATCCCAATGCAGAACTTAATCTGCCCTTGTTCCTGATGTAGTTCTCCACTCATCCCTTCTTCCCTTGCAGGAAAGGAGAGCACTACTTAGATTTGCCTCAGGTACCAAAATGTCTTGGGCTGGCCCTCCCTGTGAGCTGACTTTTGGTTGAGGGTATGGACAAAATGTTTGTAGAAAATCTCAGAAGCTTGAAAGATGGACGGTAAAAGGTTTTTGGTGCAACAGATTCCATGCTAGGATGTATCTTGCAACACGGGCAGAAAGAAGGGTGGGGCAATGCCATTGTGGGTTTTAAAGGTAAAGTGTGTAGATGTGAAATCCATGAACAACTTTACAGTAGAAGCAAGAATTGTGGATAGAATGGGGGAAAGTGAAGCATAACCAGGCAAGTCCCAAGATCAGGTTTTATTCTACCACTGTAGGATTACGTCGTTAGTTTTTGTCTCTGTATCTGACTGGCTTCTCCCCTATTTCGATTGATCTTTGAATAACCGGTGAGTATGAACATGCTAATATTTTCCCTGTGTCATTAATAAATGCTAGAAAAATAAGGTGCAAGGAGCATTGCTGTATTCAAATAAAGTTTTTTCCATAATGGTTCAATTTCATTTGCCCTGTTGATTGTCAAATAATACTAGTAATATTTATAACCCTGCAAAATGGAACTGTTAATAGGCCCCAGAGAGGAAGAAAATAAAGGCTCCCTGGTAGCACATAGAATATGGCCATGTCTTTTGACTCGCATCACTGCTGCAAGATTGCAAAGCCCGGCTTCCTATTTAAAGTCAGCCAATTTTTAAAGCAAATGTTGGAAACAACAAAACTGTATTCTCTCTTCTCTACAGTAGTCGTCTTAAAAAAACACACACCATAGCCCTGTTCCATTTAGAATCCAGCTGTCTCACTGATTGCATGAGTCTATAAGAGTACTAGCAAACACACAGATGCACCAACTGCTGTTGATTTATGAAATATGTTTTTAATGGCTCTGCAAATATATGTTGGAGAAAATGGTGTCGCTTGGGAGTAATAGGCAATAGCAGAGTAAATGTTTTAGACATATGTGCTTAGAAAGTGGAAGAAAAAGAGATGACTGCCAGCTCACTGTACGTACAACCTATTCATATTAATATTTCTGCACGCATCTGTGTACATAGTACACAGTATGGAAAATTTTAGCAACATGAATTGGCATTAGTTGTTTTTTAAAAATTTACTTAGCTTCTTTGTATTTACAAAATCTTGAGAATCCATAGTACCATGTACTGGAGTAAGTTTAAATGGCTGCTGATGTCATTATAGAACGTTCTATCCAACTAAGTTTTATGCTGAACAGGCCCATTGAAATTAATGGACTTGACAGTCCTGTCCAATAATTTCAGTGGGTTTGGAGTCTAAACCAGGTGAGGGTAGCCAATGAGTTTTAAACCCTTGGTGAGTTAGGGACTTTCTTGCATGCAAGACAGGCATCAGCAGATACAGCTGCTTTGTGGGACATTTTCAAGAGAAGAAAAGGCTAAGGAGTAATTCTTACACAACTCCAGAGCAGAGTCCCTAAGACAGTTGGATGGCATCTTGTACACCTTCTGGAAACTCCTGCAACCCAGTTGGTGCCAGAAGTATTGCTCTGCTTTCCTTTGAACCACATCAACAAGGCTGGGAGAGGTGGTTGATATGGGAAGCAGTGATGTGGGCCATTAATTAGAGGTTGAATCCTGAAAAGCAGGGGTGTCATCTATCCCAAGTTCTCACTTCCAGGAGGTGGGGAGGCAGCCTGTCCCGAATAGGGCTGCACACCCCTTGATGAAGCAGATCCACAGCTTGGGGGTTCTCCAGGATTTAACACAGTCACTGAAGGCTTAGGTGGCCCCAGTGGCTAAAAGTGCCTTTTATGAACACCTTGTATGTCAGCCACAACCCCTTTTGGACAGAAATGACTTGGCTGCTGTTCTCCACGTTCTGGCAACTTCCAGACTGGATTATTGCAATGTGCTCTATGTGGGAATGTCCTTGAAGATAACTCAGTCTTCAGCTGGTCCAAAATGCAACAGCCCAATTACTGGCTGGGGTTCCACTTAGTTCACATATAAACCTGTTTCAAAGCAGCACCCCTGATTATCATTTCACTTCCAGTCCCAATTCAGGGTGCTCACATTAGTGTTTAAAGCCCTAAACCACTCTGGCCCCAAATATCTGAAAGACTGTCTCCCTTCCCTGCGGACCTTATTGGGTGTAAAGACTGGCAGAGGGGGCTCTCTCGGTAGTTCCACAACTAAGAAGCTTGGGATGGTGGCGGCTTGGGAGAGGGGATTATTTCTGGCAGTCCCTAAATTGTGGAGCTCCCTCCCCACATGGGTGAAACTGTTAACTTCACTATATAGTTCTTGGCAAATGCTGAAGATTCACCTCTTTACCCTGCCCAGGAAGCAAGCATTTCACTCTCTGGGATAGAGCTATGTAAAGCCTTTTTGTGCCTGTAAAATAGATCTGTACAAAGCTATACTTTCATAATGGGAACAGCTGCTGTATTTATACCATTAGAATACAACCACAGCTTATTTTTAAGTATGCTATACAACAGAAACGCAAAGAAAGGACACTTGGATTCCTGTACTCATTTGATTTACATTAGTTTTTTTTCCTCTTAAAAGCCGAACATGCTTAAAATTGTAAGGTCTCCTTGGTTTCTAGCAGCTGGACTATTGGAAGGCTTTAAGGTTTGTAACGTCACCCATACAAGGGAAATTCTTTTTGTAATTGGAGCCTATTCATAAATCTTGCCTGAACTGGTAGCAATGTTAAAATTATACCCTTAGCACCATCTATTGACAATGAAGAGGCTTGCAGCTTAATATTTGTACCTAATTCTCATTACACTTACGGAAGCTGGATAAAGTACACATTGGTTATTTTTTATGAATTTGCAGAGTGAACCTTCTATATTAGTTTATGTTCTTTCAGATGCAACACCTTTTCACTATACCTAATAAAAATGTATTGCATAAAAAACTGTCTATGCATTTGGTTAGACACAGCTCTCTCGAGAATCCAGGTCATGATGACCCTGGCTACAATCTATTATGCTTACTGTTTGGGAAAGATTTAGCAATGCTGGAGGGGTTGCCAATACAACTGCCAAGTGCTCAGTGTGATAGGTTGTGGGTTGGGTTGGGTTGGCATGACACAATTGCCACTGCGCTCTTCTTAACAGAATAAGAAACAGATTATTCTTTCTGCTAAGGGTATGGAGCCACAACTTTATTTTGAAGGAAACCTACAGAACTAGCTTCCCTTCTCATTTTTATTTGCTTGTTTCTAGCATCTTTTAAAACTCTCATTTCATAATTTTTCTAGAGACAGGTAAGCTCAAATATTTATTCCATCAACTACTATTCCTGTTTTCATTTACTGAGGGGTTATTTTGTTGGGTGGGGGTAAGTTTATGTTCCCTTTCTACAGATAATAGCAACCTGAGGGGAAACCAGACAATATACTATTCAAGAGAAACAACGCTTTTTCAAAACCAACCTTTGATATCCTCAAATATCTGAAGGGCTGTCATGTGGAAGATGCAGCAAACTTTTTTTCTGCTGCTGACCCAAACTGATGGATTCAAATTACAAGGAGATTATGACTAAACAGAAGACTTGTGGTATGAGATGCTAAGAGCTATTTGACAGTGGAACAGGCTGCCTTGGAAGGCGGTAGACTCTCCTTTATTGGAGGTTTTTAAACAGAAATTGAAAGGCCAACTGTCAGGGATTCTTTAGTTGTGATTCCTGCATTGCAGCAGGTTACACTGGATTACCCTTGGGGCCCCTTCCAGCTCTGAAGTTCTATGATTCTATTACATGCAGACTTTCTAAGTGCTTTATTCTCTGGATAACCCTTTTGTAATCATCTGTTTATGACAGCAAGGAAGGAAATAAAATTGTTTATACAGTCAAGCTCTGAATTGCAAGTTCTGAAAGTCTAGGCTGTAGCTGGTAGATGCAACCAGAAGCCTTACTACAATACACATAGTCAGGGCTGTGTGTTCTCTCTTGCTCTTGCTCTCTGCAAAATTCTACAGTTTTCACTAGCAAAAACCGATCATGAAATCATGGGGCGGGGCAAGAAGCTTTATCAGGCACTGAAATCCTGCCCTTGTAGTATTGTTTTTGTCCAAGTTTAAACTCTCAGAACATGTTCTTCATTACTTAGTTGGATACTGGTGGCTAAAATTAAGCCAATAGGAATTATTTTTTGGCCATGTTTTACACTCCAGCTGTTTTTATGTATTTGAGTGTTGCTGGTCGGGTTTTTTATATATATATAAAAACTACTGTTACTTCTCTGTGAGCCATTAATCTGAGTGTGAGGAAAACATCTCTAAGTAACCCAGAACACACTGGTAATGTGTCAGTCAAAATTACTTTTGGATAAGTAAATGCTTACAAGAATGCAACTAAACATCTTAATTAAGGAATTGACCTGTGAATATACTTGTTTGGTTTAGGGTTAGGCATGTTCTCTTGTGTCGACTGTGGTCCAGAGTTGCTGAGAGCTGCCCATATGTATAAGAGTGCAGCTCTGAGAAGAAAATATTTGCAGTTTACATTCTCAGATTTTACTTAATATTTTCCCCCCACACCCAAATCCACCAATTATTTATTAAAAGCTGGTTTTAAAAAGCAAACTTAATTAGCATGCCTCCTATGAACTGTGAACATCTGAAATTTGCAAACGTTAGGTCAGCTGCGTGCAATGCAGTGCTCATACTGCTTCTGTGTAAGGACAGAGGATGTGGAGCAGCAGTCTGAGGTGAACTAGTAACTAGGAGACAGGCAAGGCAACAACCACAATACAGCTCAGAAAGACTGTAGTATTCAAGATAGCTCAGTTGATAAGAGCATGAGACTCTTAATCTCAGGGTTGTGGGTTTGAGCACCACATGGGGCAAAGAGATTCTAGCATTGCAGGGGGTGGAGTAGATGATCCTTGGGGTCCCTTTCAACTCTACAATTCTGTGATTCTGTTGGGAAAAGAGGCTTGAAAGATCCCAAGGCAAGCCTGGGTGGAGGCAGTCTGGTTCGTCAATGAAAAGGCTACTTGCTGTTTAGTGGTTCACCACATGGAGTAGCCACTCACAGATTTTAGCAGCTCCTGACATCCTGTTTATCTTCAGGGCACTAACATGGACTTGAAGGACTGAACAATGCTGAAAGAGAGGACTGCAGGCTTTAAATAACAGCAAGGTAGATGTGTCCCTGCAAGGCTGTTTCTGTGCCTACAGCGTCACTTGAAGGAGAAAAAAAGCAGGAATGGCTGCAATGTATGTACTTGAACCACTCCAATCAGGTTGAGGTGCAGGACACTCCAGTGACACTCCCATTTCTGGGCCATGCATCTATGAGGCTAGCAATTGTACAACAACAGCACCATTTTACCGCCAGGCTCCTTTGATGTGGATGTGTATCGCAAATAAGCAATGTGCAGCTGGACTATGGCAGAGTGTGGATAACATGTGTGTTAAAACACATCTGACTTTATCGCATTCACATATTTGTGTATACAGCCAAAAACCACAGATTTCAACCCAGCTATCAATGTAATGTGTTCTATGCTAGACAAGATTTTGGAAGGCTAACCACAGAGGACACAAAAGGCATTTCTAAAGTCGCACAATAAGCCATATTAATGATTTACTTACTCAGTCCCTCTCACAAAAGGTTTGTTATCACAATGGCAGGAATGACTGGAGTAAATGGAAATGGATTATATGTTCAGAGCTTTCACATAATATGCATACTTAACATTGCTGAGGAAGATCCTTTGGGGAGGCACACACTTGAGTTTCTAAAGGGCATTAACTTGTTTGAAGACTGAAGGAAGAACCAATTGAGCCAGAGCCAAGAATGGTGATGTCAGTTACTTTAGATGTGGTTTTCTGTCTGTTCCTTCCTCTGGCCATCTGCCCTTCAGATGATATATGGCCTATCAATTCTTCAAATGAAGGACCCTCCTCATTTCAGAAGCAGGAATGTAGGTATTCAACCGATTTTTCTGCCTGTCCTGAAAACCAGTCCTAAAAGTGTGAGGCAGGTAAGGAGGCTCAGTCTGTTACCAGGAGTAGCGTACATTTCTTCATAATAGTTTCCTCTACCCAGTTTTGTGTGTCACAAGATCGGGCCAAAAATCTAGTGTGCTTTTGGATTTAATTCTATCGTGTCTGTACACCAGTGGAACAGATTTCCACTTGTACAATGGGACTCTCCTCCCCTCTGCAGCCCCCTGTGCACCCTCCAAAATCTGCTTTGGAAAGTCAGTCCCCATCCAAGCAGATTTGGGGGAGTGCAGGGGATAGGAGGGGAAGTCCACTACATGAACAGGTTTGCTTGCACAATGTTGGATTTCAAATGACCTTGCAGAGTCTGTGAAGCAACACTTGTTTCTGAAGACTTTTTTTTTTTGCTTGGCTTCCCACCTTTTCATACAGACCTCAAAGCATGTAGTTAGCTGCACAAAGCATCACTCTTTTTCTTTTAAAAAGACCATATAAACACAGTTGTAATGGTCATAGGAGTATGAACAATGCATATTTTATAACAGAAGCAGTGAGGGTTGATATCAGCCCTTAGCACTTGAGTGGTTCTGACCTGGCTGTAGTCTCTACACTTCTGAAGTCCAGGTAAGAGTTAAATTAACACATCTGCTGTATTAGGCATAAAGATTTTCAATAATGGAGATGCATCCTTACAGCTGCAGTCTTAGATTTGTTCGGAAGTATATCCCACTGAATTCAAAGAGACATTAAAATGTGCACAGGACTGTAGCCATGATACTTTATTTGCAAAGTGTTTGCCCTCCTAAAACAGTTTGGAAGCGTGGAAATCGGTTGATATTATTATTCCCATTTGACACAGGAAGACGTCTGCCTGAGAGACAATACCTGAACCTCTCAATGGGTCTATTTTTACGTTGCAACACGGGGCAGCTGTGCCGAGATGCCTAAACTAAAGCCTTTCTCTGTCAAATGCTGTGTTGTAGGTAGCGTTGCCCACATGATGGGGGCGCATTTAAACTTGCACTTCCCCACCCGCAGTCCAGGGCAAGACCTGCACCACGCGCTCTTTCTGCACAGATCGATCCGTAGTAGCTGCAACCTGCCGGAGTGGCGCCTGCGGCCCACAGTCCTACAGAGCACGCGACTCTCAAACTATGACAGTGACCATGGAGTCCAATTCGGTCCCCCCCCCTTCTTTTTCACCGTTCATTTCTGACACAAAACCCAAGGTCCTGAAGTGCAGGGAGCGGGGCAAACCATGCCCTCCCTACACGGCGTTAAGATTCCTGAGGGAGAAATGACGGCGTGTTTCCTTTTATTGTTCCTGTCCTAAAGATGCTTACTTGCTGCCTCCTCACTTACCAAGCCTCACTTACCGCGCGGGCGTTGCTCTCCACACGCCCGTCCCTCGCCCAGAAATAAGACGCTGCCGCGGACACCCACGGCCGACGCCGAGCTCGAGCTCAGCGGAACCCCCTTGTTCGCCGCCGCCGCCGCCTGTCCCCGCCTTAATCCCGCCCCTCCGGTCTGGGCTGCCTGGCGGGCTAGGCCTGCGCTTGCTGCTGAGGGAACGGAGTTGAGGGCTGGGAGCAGCCATGATGGTAGGTTCCTGCGGAGCTCCCGCCGCCGCCGTGGTGAGGTCTTCTGGCCGGGGGAAGGGGCGGCCGGGGGAGAGCGGCGGGGTCGGAGGCCGGCGGGACTAACCGGTTTCCTTTCTCTCTTTCTCTCTCCGCGGTGGGTGATGCCTCGGTCTCTCTCGCCTTCGCCGCCCGCCTCCGCCCTTTTCTTCTTCGGAGCAGGAAGGCTCGGACGACGGCCCAGATTTCCTTTCCGAGGAGGACCGAGGCGTAAGTGCCGGACGCCCCTGACGGGAGGGGGCTTTCTTCCCTGGGGCTGAGGGGCGGTAGAACAGGTTTCCTTCCGGATGTGTGGGGCTCGCAGCCCCTTTCGGAGTGTGGGGCGGTGGGTGGGGAAGCGAGGGGGGTGAGGCGGCGGCATCATCTCCCGGGAGGCTTTGCCGCCCCCACCCGGTTCTCCTGCTCCTCCTTACCAGCTTCGGTTCCCTGAAAACTCCGCGCTGTCACGGGTGGTCTGGATGCACCATCATCCTGAGCTGACGCTGGAGTTCTCTCGGATTTAAAATATAATAGCCTTATCATTTTCTTCATTATTAACATCGAATCCGCTTTGCGTTCTGATTGAAACTGCCACGGCAGGCAGTTGAGATATTATAACCCCCCCTTTGGTCTAGCTGCAAACACTTTTGCTGTTGCTGCAGCTCCCCTGTTGATTTTATTTTATTTTTTGGTCAGCTTTGCAGAGCGACACACTTTAAACCGGTGGGTGTAGTTTGAACCTCTTGGATTGGTAGGCAGTGTGCCTTTGCTTTTGTTGAGAAATGCAGAAAGAGCTTAAAGCTATTTTTTTCAAATACTTTTTGACTAGAAAATTATTGTTTATTATATATCCCCCCCCCCCATCTTCCCGCAGAGAGCTCTAGGTGGTATCCAGGATTCATCCATTTCCTTGCTCATTTTGTGAATAGGCAGGGGAGCCCCAGGTTGAATTCTCTACTCAGCCATTAAACTCTTTGGTTGACCTTGGGACTTTCACCATCTCTTAGCCCAACCTAAGTCCAACACCCTGGAGTCCATAACATGGTGACTATAAGCAACCTGGTGTCCTTGAGCACTTCATGCCCCATTCCTTTCCCAATTTTTTATATTTATACTTGAGTTATATTTTTTGTTTGGGGGAGAGCCTCATTTGGGTCTTTTTTGTCTGTATTGTACCGGTACTTGGTCTGGAGTATGTGTCGATGTTGGGGGAGGGGCAAGTTCTAAGCATCACCAGTTTTTCTTACATGAAATGGTCATTTGGTGTACCTACAGACCCCAAAAGTTGAAGACTATTCAAACTGGCTTTCAAACAAAAGTAAAGAACCAGTGTCATGTGTCCATTGAGGAAAATATATAAACAATAATAAGTGGTTTAAAATGTTTTAGATAGTCGACACATACATTTTTTTTAGCAGAAAATGATGAAAAGAAACTTTTATTGGAGAAGTAAATATTAAAAAGAAATATCAGGCTATGTAACAATAGAAGCTGAAATTTTGCTGAGTACAGCAGGACCACTTAAGCTGAAGGAAACTATTCTGTCCCATAGCAGTTGACTAGCCTGACATGGGACAGCTATGGTGGGTGATTCTTGATTCTGCGTCTGTTTTCTGTCAGATACAGTTTGGGGAGTCTCATGTTTCTGTTGGTTTAATATTTGTAATCCCAAAAGTATGTGTAAAAAAACCCCCAAACTTTTAAACTGGTGTTAGAAAACTTGCCAGACCATTGTTTACTTTCTTATTAATTTTATCCTTCGCTTTATTTGCTTTTAAACTTGGTGTACATTTTAAATTAGTTTTCAAATTGTTATTTAGACAAGTAAACAATAAAAAATCAATAATATATCCAGCTAAGGGTAGGACATAAAAACCTATACATATTAAATAAAAAAGCACCATCTAAAATTCTAGCAATCATATTTCTGTAGATGACATGAGGAAAGAAATCTAAAACAAGACTACATGAAATAAAATCCCACCATACTGAATAGAAATGATCAGGATCTTCCTGTCCCTTGAAGAACTGTAACTTATTTGTTAAGAAGGGAATGTATAAGAACTGGAAGAAAGGGGAAATCACAGAGGAGGAGTACACACAAGTAGTCAATAGTTGCAGGGTGAAAGTCAGGCTGGATAAAGCTCAGAATGAGCTCAGGCTTGCAAGAGAAGTTAAAAATAATAATAAAGGTTTCTTCAGCTATGTCCAAAGTAAGAGGAAGAACAAGTAAGTGGTAGGCCCTTTGCATGGGGAACACAGAGAAATGCTGTTGGGTGACAGAGAAAAGGTGGAACTGCTCAACTTTGCCTCTGTCTTCACCCAAAAGGAAAGCAAGGGAGGGAGCTGCAGCCCAAGATTGGAAAAGAGGTAGTAAGGGAATACGTAGCTACTTTAAATGAATTCAGATCCCCAGGGCCTGATGAGCTGCGTCCAAGGGTACTAAAGGAGCTTGTGGATGTAATTTCTGAGCCCTTTTTCTTCGAGAATTCTTGAAGAACAGGTGAGGTCCCTACAGACTGGAGGTGGGCAAATGTTGTCCCCATTTTGAGGTATCTGAAGAAGTGTGCATGCACACGAAAGCTTATACCCAGAACAAACTTAGTTGGTCTCTAAGGTGCTACTGGACAATTTTTTTATTTATTTCTACTGCGTCAGACCAACACGGCTACCTACCTGAATCTAGATAATTCAACAGTTGGTCTGTGAGCATTTGGAAAAGGATGCTGTGATTACTTAGACCCAGCATGGATTCTCAAAAATGTCATGCCTGACCAATCTGATTCCTTTTTTTGATGGAATTACAAACTTGGTGGATCAGGGAAATCCTGTGGACATAGTATATCTTGATTTCAGTACTGCTTTTGACAAAGTCCCTCATGATATTCTCTCAAGGAAGCTGGTAAAATGTGGGTTGAATGAGATAACTGTTAGGAGGATTTGTAGCTGGTTGACTGACCAAACCCAAAGAGTACTCATTAATGGTTCTTTGTCATCCTGAAAAAAAGTGACAAGTGGGGAGCCACAGGGTTCTGTCCTGGGCCCGTTGTTCAACGTATTTATAAATGAATTGGATGAAGGAATTGAGGCAATGCTCATCAAATTTGCAGATGACGCCAAACTAGGAGGTTTCAGAATTAGAATTCAAATGAGCTTGACAGATTGGAGAACTGGGCTCAAGCTGACAAAATGAATTTCAATAGAGACAAATGTAACATTCTGCACTTGGGCAGGAACCACCAGATGCACAAATATAGGCTAGGGGGTACCTGGCTTACTAGCAGTACATGTGAAAAGGATCTAGGGGTCTTGGTGGGCCACAAGCTTAATATGAGTCAATAGTGTGATGCAGCAGCAAAAAAAGCTAATGCTATTCTAGGCTGCGATCATAGAAGGAAGTTACAGATCAAGGGAAGTTATAGTATTACTCTATTCTGCCTTAATCAGACCACTCTTGGAATACTGTGTCCAATTCTGGGCACCACAATTTAAGAAGGATGTTGACAAGCTGGAACGTGTGCAGAGGGCAACCAAGATGATCAAGGGTCTGGAAACTAAGTCTTACGAGGAGCACTTGAATGAGCTGGGTATGTTTAGCCTGGAAAAGAGGAAACTGAGAGGAGATATGATAGCCATCTTCAAATATCTTAAGGGCTGCTACATGGAGAAGGGAGCATGCTTGTTTTCTCCTGCTCTTGAGGGTAGGATTCGAACCAATGGCTTCCGTTGCAAGAAAGGAGATTCTGACTAAACATTCAAAAACAGTAAGAGCTGTTCAGCAGTGGAACAGATTCCCATGAGAGGTGGTGGACTCTCCTTCCTTAGAGGTTTTTAAACAGAGGTTGGATGGCCATGTGTCATGGATGCTTTAGCTGAGATTCCTGTATTGAAGGGGTTGGACTAGATGACCCTTGGGGTCCCTTCCAACTCTTAAGATTCTACTATTCTAGTCCAACCCCCTGCAATGCAAGAATCTCAACTAATGCTTCAGGCTCACACTAATCAGCTTCTGCTCCCACATGTGCCTATGCATTTTAGCATTTTATGATAGCTGCATCTGAAATGATATTTGTGCCATGCTCTTAATTTATTTAGGATTCATGAATAACTACATCTAGTAAGATTATTTTTTTTACATGTGGATGTGAATGTTCGCAGGATTTAATTTCTGATTCAGTAATGTATGTGCCATTGAAAGTTTTAGAGACTTTGTTTTCTAAACTGGTTTGGAATCTGAAAGAACCCCCACCCCCATGCAAAATATTCTCCAAAACACTGTCTAGCAATTCATAGACCACAGGGTAGCTTAGTCATAATTTGTGTCACAGTAAATCTATTGGTCTTTAAAGTGTCATAAAACTCCTTTTAGTTTGCTGCATTCCCTTCATATTTTAGTATATGTTGGGAAGAAAAAGTGTGTGAGGTCTTTTCCAAAACTGTGATATTCTACTGTACATCACCTATGATATTCTACTGTACATCAGAGGTATCCTAGCTTTCTTAACGATCTAAATAATGGGTACATTTAAAGGTAGAATGCAAAGTTTTCGTAAGCCTGTAATAGAATTTTGTAACATACATTTTTCCCACCTGCATCCATCTCCATGTAATGCATGAAATGTACTGACAAGGGCTTTTAGCTATATTTCAGATTCCACCTTTTCTTCACCTTTCTTTTAATGCAGGCTTTATTCTAGGTTGCTCTGAACAACTGCTGGATAGGCCAGTGATATCACTCTATTATTCTAGAATCTTCTAACAAATTTACTGTAGCATCAGGGACTGCCCCCTCTGCTCATTTTGCTCGCCAACCCCATTCTCTGCCCTTTACATCTGATCAACCCCCTCTC